TACGTATATATATATATATATATATATATACTTACAAGACTTCCCATGAACGATGCTTGCGGCTCTCGAGAAAAAAAATAATCACATTTGCATCTTTAGCGACTCTCGTGTGATATATACGTGTGGGCCGATACGCGTGATTGTGTGTGCGTGCAAATGTGATGTGATGGACAAGTAATAATTATGTGTGTCGCATGTAGCACGCCTATATACGTATATGTATATCTGTAGGTGCGTATCACGTGAGCAAGTGAACACGAGTATACCGCGATTACGTCGTTAACTGCTCTAATTCCGATGACGAGAGAGATAATGGCTCTATGTATTTTTTTAATGAGGTATACCTGTATAGAGTGTGAGACCAAAAAAAAAATTGTTTTTCAATCGCTTTGAACTTTTTTTTTTTTTCCCAGCAATCAAAGATAGCCATCCGCGGTCAATCAAAAAGGGAGTGTCAAATAAGTATACCCTTTACAGTTAGATGAGTCGAATTAGTCAATATTGACTAGTTATAAGTGAAAAGTCCATTACTTATCGTGATAAGTAAACGACATTTGACTGATTCGCAGTAAAATTTGACTGATTCAACTTTAGGCAGATAACAAGAGTTTATCTATTATATGATAAAATCCTCCCTTCAGCTTGGCATAGGTATAAGCACTTTGGTCACTTGGGGGTGTGTACACACGTACAAGAAAGAGATAATCATCCTGTTGTATATAATAATGGATATATGTGGTGTATTGTATATCTGTACACACTTAGATGTATATATTACTTATCTCAAGGTGTATTCGATCGGTGTCTGCGGTTTGTAAGTATACATATAATACAGATACAGTCGGCCAGTGGCCACGGTTTCACCCCCTTCCCCCTGTATATGTATACGTGGGCTCGTACGTGTGTACCCCACGCACTGAGGTATTAGCATTATAGGATTTGTATCTGTATAGGTACAGCAACAGTAGCACTATAATTATGTATTATGGTGTTGTATATAATATAATATATTATACACTCTTTTTTTACCACTGTCATCCCGCATTAGCCATCAAGGTTGCGTGCAGTTTTCTCCTATAGCTTTTATTCATCCCACATGTCGAATGTGGTTGGTCGGAAATGATCCCGACATAAGTTTCCAAATTTACTGCAATACTGTAATCACACCTGGAAAGTAAAAACTGCTAAAACTGATACCGTGTCAATGTGCAATTGAATGGGTATTCTCACGTGTCAAGTCATTTCCGGTGGCTCTCGTTACGTACGTTTATCTTCGATTTTAGTAATTTTTCGCAAATTTTTAGAGAAACCTGTCTCTACTTGTATTTTAAAAGGCATTTAAATAGAGTTCTTCATTCGTTAAAAAAAAATGTTTGGTTTAGATCAAGTGTAAGTATAAGTACGGGGTGGATAGAAGTCATTTTTCAACATTTTTAAATATATCTTGAAGTTTTGTTTAAAAGCCTTCTAAAACATGTATTTAAATCTTTGAACCCTTTCGTCCCTGGAATGGTTTTTTCTAAAAATTTCCGGACACCTTTTTCATACGTTTTTGAAACCTGTACAATATATATTTAAAATTAGAAGAAAAAAATAATTTTTTTTTTTTTTCAATTTCCGCTGCGTGCAACCGAGAACGTTCCAAGTCATACGACGACGTTCGCGGTGTAAATTACTTTCTCGAAGCAAGCTGTCTCTCTCGAGCACNACCCCCCTCCCAGTATTGTGAGGCCTCCCATCCCTCTTCCCTTCCTTCTCCCAAGTGCTAAGTGCCCTGTGTAGTGCCCTTTATAGGAGCCGGACGTAAAGCACTATATAAAAAAAAAAAAAAAAAAAAAAAGGTATGTATACCTGGTAAGCCGTGCGCGCGTAATGTGATTTTCACTGCATTGCAAGGAGGAAAATCCGCGACTCACGGCTACTTTTGTACATCATACATATATATAATAGGTACCGCAGCCAATGATGATTTTATATATATATGCACCTCGTCGTCGCGCTGCATCGGCTTTCTACTACTATACTACCACCACTGCTATACTTACCTCCTCGTCTGCACTTTTTTTTCTCTTTTTTCTTTCTTTTTTTTTTTTTTTATTACGTAACCATACACTCGTTGTTGTTTTCTTCTCTCTTTTCTCCTTCCGCTGTACTACCTCATACACGCGTGTCTTTTTCGCTCCGACGATTTTTTGCCTACCAAGTAGGCACGCTACAAGTATACAGGCGAAAACCTCTTTTCGCAGCGTATAGGTTGGTGCATTGTGTTACTCCTTTTTTTTTTTTTTTTTTTTTTTTTTTTTTTTTTTCGGGTTGTTGCAGCTCCGCAAGCGGCAATCGAATGTGTAGCACTGACGGAGTGCGTTTATGTAGGTAACACGCGCACCAGATGTTTTCATACGTGTGTGTGTGTGTGTGTGTGTGTGTATCTGATACCAAATGATACACCGATATATGTCCCAAAACTTTTCCTTTTTCCTCTACCATAATACATACATACCGATTTCCTGCGTGTACGTGGAGAACCCAAAGTGTATGATATTAATTGTCCTCCCGACGCGTGCCTATTGTTCATATTGTATCATCGAGGTAGCAGCTGTCTTCGTGTATACCTAATACTCTTTCGAAAGAATATAATTGAGCAACCCTTTTTTTCTTCAAAGAAAAGGCACGTGTACACCCGCATCACTATATATATATAGTAGTCAAGAAACGCTGTTACATCGGGGCCTCCACAAATTCCCTCGTCACCTCTGTTTATGTCTCTTGTTGCAGCCCGACAATGATAATAGCTCCTCTCTTGAGCGCACGAAATCGTTACTCTGCCTTCGGAAATGAGTATATATATTATATACCTGCGTGGTATTGTAACAAGGGGGCGATAACCGTATTGCACGTGTACACAAATATACATATATACGTATAGGTACAACAACACACGCGCAAAAATCTGGGCAAGGCCGTGTAATTGCCGGGAAGGCTAATCGCCTTTACAGTTAAATGGGCTACTTTGCGAACTCCAAGTTACACATTGGTGTATGTGTGTATATGCGAAGCACGCGGGTCGCCTTTCTTTTCGATGATGATGATGAATCGAGTCGTCGTGTCGCGCGTAGGCGTGACCGATCCTTCTGAAACAGACACGTTGAATGTCAGAATAGTATTGAAAAAAAATAAAATAAAATAATGATAAAAAAAAATCGGCACCCGATCGGCCGATTGTAATGCAAAATAGAGAGACGCCTTGTGCGTTGAACTTGCGTATGGAGATACATGGAGAGGCAGGGAGGGACAGGAAAAGAAAAACATTTGTAAAACTATGTATCGATACGCGGATGCGCAGAGTTGGAATAACGTGGAACGAGCCGAGCGAATCGGCACTCGCGGGCGTGGCGAACCTGACTCGCTCTCTCCCCTCGTAACGCACATGCCTCGCTGTACTTACTTATTTCCTGCTCGTCAGCTGATGATTGTACATCTGGTACAAAAATGCCACACGCATATACCTGCACGTACATATTATCTATGTTTTGGTAATCGCGGCTCAAGTGCCATTTTTATATACGCTTGCTTTTGTCCCCGCATACAGATGATGCACCGTTTAGAGTCGCGAAATACATCGCAATCGAATCGAGATAACACGGAGAGAGATATTATATACATATATGTATACCAATACGCGATGGGACCGAGAATTCAACTCCTCCCCACTGTCCCCCTTTTGGCGCGCTCTCGAGAATGTCAAGGTCCCAAAATTACGCGCCACCGTCTCTGTAGTTTTTTTTTTTTTTTTTTTTTTATTATTCTGCCAAAAAGGGGGAGAGAGGATTCACTCGAGAGACCTGCATATACCGCGTGATTTATACATAATTATATATACACCGATGTACGCAATTAAATATACATCACAATGTGATGGGACGAGTAGTGCTTTATCGATTGTCAAACGGTTTGTACAACTTGGCACAGGAGGAGCACAGTATGAGCCCGGCGCTGGGCCTCGTCGTCCAAGGTCCACGCAAGGCTTGCCCGGAGGTCCAGCCTCGTTCACGTACCAGCAGCACCAGCTCTACCATTACTTCACCGGCTCGGGCGGGGCCAGTCCGTCCTCGTCGAGCACCAGCCGGCTCGAGCTTTACCACGCCAACAAAAGCACCGACCGCGGCGACCCGTACTCCCGGGTACACAGGAGAATGACGCAGAGGGAGGACGCGCTCAAGTTCGAGCAGAGCCGTATCAAGTCGCTACAGGAGGAACGGCTGCTCATACAGAAGAAGACCTTCACCAAATGGATCAATTCATTTTTGCTCAAGGTATGAACCATTTTTATTATACACCATTATCATTATGTCGGCGCTTGACACTGAATTCCAATCGTCAAAAAAGAGAGAGCCACAAGTAGGTATATGCCGCGTGCGCGTGAAGGAATTTTCACTTGGAGGGGGGGGGGGCGCGTATGCACAGCTGCGGTTACTCGATTTGAATGTTTGATTGGTGATTCAGCCCATCGAGAGTGTTTCTTTTTCGGTCGGCGCGCCGGCGTGCCCGAATTTCCTTTTTTTACGTATAAGTAAGTACTATCTGATGCTTCGTGAGAAAAATAAACACTTGGGTGCGCTGATGGCACGGGATTTTATTTTCTTTTTCCAATCAGCGTTGTCCAAATGGTCGATTATGGCTCCGTTATCACCTCGTAATAAATCGATTTAGTGACGATACTCTCGAGTGTTTACTTTCGCGTTGTTTGGTCGTGGCCAATTAAAATACACACCTCGATTTTGATTTTATTTTCCCTCTCCCCTCACGTGTTTGCTGTTTTGGAAAAAAAAAAAAAAAAAAATGAAAACAACACGCGTACATGAATTCATTTGTCCACAGGCGCGCATGGAGTTGGAGGACCTGTTCACGGATCTCGCCGACGGTAAGAAGCTGCTGAAATTACTGGAGATTATATCGGGCGAGCGACTCGCCAAGCCCAACAATGGCCGGATGCGCGTCCACAAGATCGAAAATGTCAACAAATCCCTGGCGTTTTTACACACAAAGGTGATAACAAGATACTACCTGCGGATATTCCTTTCTTTCTTTTTTTTTTCTTTTTTTTTTTTTTTTTTCATCGTATACGTGTTGATACTTTATCGATGCTCTGCTCGCCGATTTTCGGACAGATACCGAGTTTGATTAATGTACTCACTTATCACCACCGAGCGTGCTATAGAATGTCTGAAATAAGTATGTGGTGATTTTTTTTCACGCAAACGTTTTTATCGATCGCATTTCCAACTACCGCACTTTTTGGCTCGTGAATTATACGGGTGGTGACATCACCGCCACCGCGATTAATAAACTAAACGCTCCGGCCGGCCGTAGACGAGTAAGCATTGTATAGTTTACGTGCGTTCGGTTTTTAACTGTACTCGGATAGTTTATGAATGCTACAGAAAAAATGCTCGATCGTGACGTGTAGGACAGCTAACATGCGGATAGTATTCCACGCGTGTGTGTGTGTATACACGTATCTGCATAACTCTGCGACTTCCACGAAACGCCAACTGTAGGAGCGAAGGAAAATAATAATACCTGATGCCTTGCATCGATGAACGAGTCAGCGATTCGCGATTAAACTCGATTTTTGTATGATTTGAGGCGCGTTGTTAACGATCCTCCTCGTGTTCCGTATTAAATTAGACAATAATATTTCCTTTTTCCCGTTTCAAGGTCCGACTGGAGAGTATCGGTGCGGAGGACATAGTCGACGGCAACCCGCGCCTGATTCTCGGCCTCATATGGACGATTATCCTGCGCTTCCAGATCCAGGAGATCGAGATCGACGTGGACGAGGAAAACGAGAGCAGCGAAAAGAAATCGGCCAAGGACGCCCTTTTGCTCTGGTGTCAGAGGAAAACAAACGGCTATCCTGGAGTCAACATTCAAGACTTTACCGGTAAAGCATACACCGTGCCTCCTTCTCCTTCTTCTTTTCTCTTTTTTCTTCGATGATGCTAGAGGCTATCTTTAGAACGACGCTTCAATTGCGCCAACGTTTATCAGACTTTTCTTTTTTTTTTTCTTTTTTTTTTTTTTTGCTGTGCTGCCACTTCTATTGATTTGTGTCTGCGTTTTGTGCTCGCTTTTGCATTTAAGTTCCAAGGCCCGCGAGGAAAAACAATACTTCATTGATTGCCTCTTGCGTCTGTTTAACGTATGTTATAAATATAATCGGGAGCGCATTGCGAGATAAAGAAAAACTAATTTAATTACACATTGATGACGTAACTTACGCGCGCTCCATCGAGTAATTAAACACTTTGTCGCCCACTCGAGGACAATTGGATACTCGAGTCGTTGATTGTTCAAACTGAATTTAATAGAACATTTAAGGAAGATTATTTTTGTTTCTTTACGTGGCGTCGAGGCCATTCGCAATTTTCATTAGTGTGCTAGAAATTTCGTAGAAATTTTCATTTTTGTAAGAAAAATAAGTAATCGTTGGACATGATTGTTGCTCGTTTCAGTATCATGGCGAAGCGGCTTGGGTTTCAACGCCCTGATCCACTCGCACCGGCCGGATCTGATCAACTGGTCGGATCTGCAGCAAACCCGGCACATCGACAATCTAAACTATGCCTTCGACGTGGCAAACTCCGAGCTGGGCATACCACGGCTGCTCGACGCCGAAGACGTCGACACGGCCAGGCCCGACGAGAAATCCATCATGACGTACGTCGCCTCGTACTACCACACGTTCGCCAGAATGAAGAACGAAATCAAGAGCGGCAAGAGGATCGCCAATATTGTCGGCCAAATGATGGACGCCGACAAGATGAAGGTCCACTACGGCAAACTGACCGCCGAGCTGCTCGAGTGGATCAAGCTCAAGATGATCGAGCTCGAGGACCGCAACTTCCCGAATTCCCTGGAGGGCATACAGCGCGAGCTGCTGGCGTTCAAGCAGTACCGCACGATCGAGAAGCCGCCCAAGTACAAGGAGCGCTCGGAAATCGAGGCCCTCTACTTCCACATCAACACGCGTCTCAAGTCGCTCAACCAGCCGGCTTTTGTCCCCCAGGAAGGCCAGCTGGTCAACGACATCGAGCGCAAGTGGATCGAGCTCGAGCGAGCCGAGCACAGGCGTGAAGTGGCGTTGCGCAGCGAACTGTTGCGACAGGAGAGACTCGAGCAGCTCAACTACAAGTTCGAGCGGAAAAGCGTGCTCCGCGAGGGCTACCTCAAGGAAATGATTCAGGTGCTGTCGGACCCGCGTTACGGCAGCAATCTCGCGCAGGTCGATGCCACAGTCAAGAAGCACGAGGCCATCAGCGCCGACATCCTGGCGCGCGAGGAGCGCTTCCACGATCTGACCAACATGTCCGAGGAGCTGGTGCGCGAGAACTACCACGGCCTGGAACGCGTGAGGACGAGGGAGCAGCAGGTGCTCCAGCGCTGGCGCGAGCTTCTGGGACTCTTGGACCGGCACAAGGCCAATCTGTCGGCGCTGTGCGCCCTCATGAGCCTCATGCGGGAGATCGAGACGACCCTCGCGAGCGTCCAGGAGCTCCAACTAAGCTTCCAGAGCACCGAGGTCGGGCCTCACCTACTCGGCGTCGAGGATCTGCTTCAGAGGCACAGGTGCGTATTTCATTTTCTACTCGCTAATATTATATACGTCAGGGTTCCTTGCTACCATTGCGTGCTTTGTTTTTACAGTCTGCAGGAGCTGCAGGTCACCGCGCTCGGTGAGAGTCAGCGCAGACTCGTCCGACAGGCGGCTCAGGTGCAGACTCAGGTCGCGGCTCAGGCGCAGCAGCCGGCCACCGCTCAGGCGCAAGGAGCGCCAGTCATCAGTAAGGAGGCCGCGCTACTCGAAGCCAAGCTCGAGCAGCTCAACAAGGCCTACGGCCAACTGGGCGAGTACAGCAAGGAGCGCAAGGCAAGGCTGGAGGACGCGCGTAACTTTTTCCAGTTCCTGCAGGATCACGAGGACGAGGAGTCCTGGCTGGTGGATCGGCAGCGAATCTGCCGAGCGGGAATACTGGCCAAGGACCTGAGAGCTCTGATATCGCTTCAGCAGAAGCACAAAGCCCTCGAGGACGAGACGAAAACGCGCAAACCCAAGTCCGAGCAGCTCTCCCAGGCCGGCAAGAGACTGGTCCAGGAGCAGCACCCATCGGCCTCGGAGATCGAGAACAGGCTAGAGTCGTTGCAGGAGCACTGGCGCGTTCTCGAGGAACTATTGGCTCTAAGAAAGAAACAGCTGGAGGAGGCTTCCGAAGCTCTGCAGTTCTGCGCAGATGCGAACGAGGCGGACTCGTGGATGAAGGAGAAAATGGCCCTCGTGGCCTCCGAAGACTACGGTGTGGACGAACCCTCGGCCCAGGCTCTCTTGCAGCGGCACAAGGACCTCGAAGGCGAACTCAACGCTTACCAGGGTGACCTGCAATCGTTAAACACCCAGGCAGATCGGCTGCAGCGCGCTGGCGTGTCCGCCCTTCACCTGGATCAAGCGCAGACGGGTGAGAACGATCAGGCCGAGCCTCTAGCGGAGCTCGAACAGGACGAATGGACGCAAGAAGTGAGATTAGTACCGCAAGACGAGTGGGTCGAGGAGGTGGTCGAGCGCAACGAGCCGCGAGTCGTTCTCGAGGACAGACTCGTCCCGCAAGTCAGGAGCCTGTACCCGTTCAGCGGACAGGGCATGGCTATGGGCAAGGGCGAGATAATGCTTCTGCTGAACAAGACCAATCCGGACTGGTGGAGCGTGCGAAAGGCCGACGGCTCGGATGGCTTTGTGCCTGCCACCTACGTGCGCGAAATCGAGCCGAAGGTCATTCAAGTGCAGGTGCGCAAACTCGAGCGCGTCCAGGCCAAACAGCGAGTCAAGAAAACGCGAATGGTGAGAAAGGTCGTACCGATACGGCGTACCAAGTCGATTAGATCAGCGGTCAAACCCGCCCATCGCAAGCCGGCCGCCAACGACGCCGACAACCTCGAGAAGCGCATGAAAATGATCAACGACACGTACGCCCGGCTGCAGGAGCTGGCAAAGTCCCGGCACGCCCTGCTCGAGGACGCGATCAGACTGTACGGCTTCTATCGGGAGTGCGACGATTTTGAAAAGTGGATCAAGGATCGGGAAAAGATGCTCAAGGCCGACGACTCGCGCGACAACGTCGAGGCAGCCAAGCGCAAGTACGAAAAGTTTCTCACCGACCTGTCCGCCTCGGGCAAGCGCGTCGAGGCTATCGACGCGGCCGTCAACGACTTTGTCAAACAGGGCCATAGCCAGCTGGACAAGGTCAGGGCCAGGCAGAGGCACATTCACCAGCTCTGGGACCATCTCAATTGGCTGAAGGCGCAGAAGGAAAAGAGCCTCGAGGGCGCTTCGAGTGTCGAGCTGTTTAACCGGACGTGCGACGAAGCCCACGATTGGATGCTCGAGAAGATCACGCAACTCGACACCGCGGAAATCGGGCCGGATCTCAAGACAGTTCAAGCTCTCCAGAGGCGGCACCAGCACCTCGAGCGTGAGCTCGCTCCTGTCGAGGAGAAGGTTCGCAAGGTCAACTTATTGGCCAACAGTGTCAAGAATACATATCCCAACGAGCTAAACAACGTTAACGCGAGGCAAAACGAGGTTCGCGACATTTGGAACAAGGTGCAGAACAAGGCCTTGGAGAGACGTTCGAGGCTGGAGGATGCCGTGGGCCAACAGATCTTTATGAACAGTTCGAAGAATCTGATCAACTGGGCGACGGAGGCACACGAGATCATGAAAGCCGAGGAACCGGTGAGGGACATTGCCACAGCGGAAAGGCTTAAGAAACAGCACGTGGAACTCGGAGAGGAGGTCAAAACGAAGGAGGACGAGTGAGTATAGTGAGAGTTTTGTGAGTTGAGTGTCTTTAAAGTTGATTGACATTTGTAATTGTTTTCTCAAGATTTAGAGAAGTTGAAGCTCTCGGAAGTCAGTTGTTGCTGCGAAACCCATCACTTTCCGAAGTTAAAGAGCGACACGACAAACTTCGTGGTTTGTATGATTCCGTGAAATCGATTTGGCAAGCTAAGCAAGCTTGGCTCGGACAGTGCCTCGAACTGCAACAGTTTAACAGGGAAGCCGATCAGATCGACGCTACGACTAGCTCCCACGCAGCTTTCCTCGAGTTCGGCGATCTCGGGGAGTCGCTCGATGACGTTGAAGCTTTGCTGAAGCAGCACGAAAAATTCGAAAATACCCTGAGCGCGCAGGACGATCGGTTGAAGATCTTCAGCGAAGTGGCCGAGAAGCTTATTGCACAGAATCACTATGACAAAAACAAGTGAGTACTTATTATCGATGCAATTAAAAAACTATTCAGGGGGACGTGTGATGGAGTATAATTTTATTGCAGTATCTACGAAAAGAGAAATCAAGTGCTTGCACGCCGCGCAGCTGTCAAAGAGACAGCTCAGCGCCGAAGAGCTGCTCTAAAAGCATCAGAGTATTATCAGCAGTTCTCCGCCGAGGTAGATGATCTGAAGGACTGGTTGAGTGACAAAATGAAAACAGCGTCTGACGAGACTTACAGAGACTTGAACAATTTGGAACGAAAGCTTCAGAAACACGAAGCTTTTGAACGAGAACTGAGAGCTAATGAAGGTCAGCTAAGGACTGTAAACAAAGCCGGAAAAGCTTTGATTTCCGAGGAAAACTACAGGTTATTAATCTGGATTTTTATTTTTTATTTATTATTTTTTTTTTTTTCAATCTCGCGAAGACAAAAAATTATATACATGGTACATGTACTTGTAGAGCCGAAGATGTTGGAAAGATTTTGAAAGACTTGAATGAGCAGTGGGATCAGCTGGTCGTTCGATCGTTAGAAAAAGGAAGGAGGCTGCGACAAGCGGCTGCTCAACATGGGTACAATCGCGTTATAGAGGATGCTCGTCTAGATCTGGGAGAGATCGAGAACGCCATGGCAAGCAAGCAAGTGGGCAAAGATTTACGCAGCTGCAAGGATCTCTTGAAAAAACACCAACTTTTAGAGACTAAACTCATGCAGTGGGAACAAAAGGTCAACGATCTCGTGACGATGGGCCAGGAAATGGTTCACGAGGGCCACTTCGATGCTCCTAATATTTTGAAAACTAGTCAAGCTACACAAAAAAAGTAAGTTTACTTGAAAAAAAAACTGCATCATCAGTTATGAGTATAAATATTTTTTAAACTACCTAATACCGATGTATTTTCATTTCAAGATTCCAGAGTCTGAAGGAGCCGGCAAAAAAACGTCTCGAGGCGCTGGAAGAAAGCTTGCGATTCCACAAATTCGGCTTTGAGTTGGATGCGGAATTACAGTGGATAAATGATCACTTGCCTCAAGCCTCCTCCGCTATGATGGGTCAGAACTTGCACCAGGCGCAATCTCTCCACAAAAAGCACAAAAAATTCGAAGCTGAGATAATGGGACATGAGCCAATGATCATGAAAACTCTTGCATCTGGTCAAAATCTGATCGATCAAGTGCATCCTGAACGAAATAAGGTACATCCGATGCATAAAGAATTTTTCAAACATCCCAGATTAATAAATATTTTCATTAGAGGTCATTCACTTTTCATAACAATGTTCTTTCCAATTAAAAAAATTAGCACAAAAGGGAAATTTTGTCAGCACTTATTACTGTTGTTGATGTTACTATAAATATATTCATTCGTTTAGGAGTTCAAGAATCTTTTCAATGAAATACAGTTGTATGATTTCTATTACAAACCGCTGGGAGACTATTGCGTCTTTATTCTCGGTTGAGGTAAGAAGGAGGAAGGAAGCAGAACCAAAAGCTCACGCGAAAAAACTTAATTACAGTAGACGTGTGTTTTTTGGTTTAGTGCGTGCTGAACTAGAGAAAGAAAAAAAAACTGCAAATAGTTACAGTGGATGCTTCTTATGTGTTTATGGCTTCCTATTTTTATGTCACAATGTTGTAATTTTATTTTGATTATTTGAAAAGTGTTTTTTTGTAACTTTCAAAGTCTCACAAACTTTGGCTATTGATGTCCGCGCATGAAACACAATGAATTTTTATTCACATTCACTGGTTTGATTTAGCTTATAATCATGTGTATTTCAAATAACTAGTGTACGTGTCTTGCAGCTTTTGTATTGAAAAACTTGCCAATTTCTTTCTTTTGTTACCTTTCTTTAATGATTGGAATTTTAGATTCAAGAGCTGTGCGACAACTTGAACGATGCATGGCAAAATCTTCAAGAGAAGGCAACGGAGCGAAGTCACGCTCTCGATTTGTCCCTGAAAGCTCAAGAATTTTTCTTCGAGGCTGGAGAAGTGGAAAGTTGGCTCGTCGAAAAGAACGATGTACTAAGCTCTACCGACTATGGACGCGATCGCGATGCAGCCACAAAATTACTTACCAAACATAAAGTATGGTTTTTGCGTACCATCTAGCTAAAATCATTTGACAATTTCGAACTTTCCAAGGTGTTGATAACAAATTTCATCTCAGGCTTTGGAACTCGAGTTAGACACCTACAATGGCATTGTCACGGAAATGGGCAATACCGCCGCTACGATGATTAATGCCAAACATCCCGACAGCAAGTCTATTGCTAACAAACAACAGGCAATCGCTCAGCAAGTTCGATCTCTGCAACGCCTAGCTGCTCAAAGACAGCAACGGCTGATGGAAAGTATGTACAGACACGAGTACTTCCTCGAAAGCCGAGAGCTCGAGCAGTGGATCAAAGAACAAGAGCAAACAGCTGCCTCCGAAGATTATGGCCAGGACTACGAACACTTGTTGCTCCTCCAGGGCAAGTTCAACGATTTCAAGCACAGAATCGAGGCTGGCTCGGAAAGATTCAATCAGTGCCAGGTTCTTGCGAAAAAGCTCATTGCCAATGAAAGCCCGTACATCCAGGATATTGAGAAGAGACAAGAGCAGCTTGGGTAAGCAATCATTCAATCAATCACATGGTTTAAGGTTTTTCGTTTTCGTTTGTGATTTCTCATGTGTTGTACATACGTCATTTAAAAAATGATGAATTATTTTTTGCATGATAAAAATAGATGTGACCTAGAATTAAGAATAATGTGGTTTAGCATGGTTTTTTAGTTGGGATAAGGGCTTACTAACATTCGTGACTTTTCTGTACATAAATAATTAGAAAAGATGAAGATGATCCAGTACTCGAGGTGGCACAATTGCATGCATCAGTATGGTAAGTCTGAGTGCGTTGTTTTTTCATTGATTACTAATTTTATTGTCCAGAGTTACGGTTTAATGTTGTTAGTGTGTGCTGTGTGGATTTTTTGTGTGCGATTTCAGACCTTAGTTAAATTGTTCTATAAATTTTACCTTTGTCCTATTTTCCTTACAGCGAGTCTTGGCAGCATCTGCTAAAACTTGTGCGCAACCGAGAACAACGTCTGCAAGCGGCTGGTGAAATTCACCGATTCCACCGAGACGTTGCAGAGGCCCTGTCGCGCATTCAAGAGAAGAAAGCCGCTCTTCCAGACGATCTCGGCCGAGACCTCAACTCAGTATTGGCTTTGATTCGCCGGCACGAAGGTTTTGAAAATGACCTGGTCGCCCTGGAGGCACAACTTCAGGTGCTGGTCGAAGACTCGGCCAGGCTACAAGCTCTCTATCCGGGTAACAACGCTGTACACATAGATCAGCAGCAAAAGATCGTTTTGGCTAACTGGGAAGAGCTCAAGGAACAGTCGGCCCACCGGCGTGATCAGCTGCAGGCTAGCTGCGATCTTCAAAGATTTTTGACTCAGGTACGAATCAACAACCCCGAAGTTTAACACCAATTGCGGATAGATTTTTTTTTTTTTTTTTTTCTTTAAATCAACCAATTTGTTACGTAGGTCCGAGATCTGATGAACTGGACAGCTGGATTATGCGCAACCATGTCGACACAGGATAACGTTCGCGATGCCGCTAGTGCACAAAATTTGAAAGCCGAGCATGAAGCTCTGAAAGGAGAAATCGAGGCTCGAGAAGACACTTTCAGTTCTGTCCTAGATCTTGGCGAAGCTATGGTTCAAACTGGCCATTATGCAGCTAGTGTGAGTACACATGGCTCTACGAAATACAATTTAATAAAAGAGATGTTACTTTTGAAATATCATCGTCAATTTTTCGCAGGAGGTCGAAGAAAAATGCAGCCAACTATTGGATGACAGGCAAAAATTACACACCGCTTGGCAGCAGAAAAAGATCCATTTGGACCAGTTGATTGATTTACATTTCTTTTTGCGCGATGCCAAGCAGCTGGACAACTTGTCGATATCACAGACAGCTGCATTGAACAACGACATCGGTATGTCGGTGGAAGAGATCGACGCCCAAATAAAAAAACAAAAGGGCCTGGAAAAACTACTCTACACGCAAGAAGAGAAATTCACTGCTCTGCGAGAACACGGGCACAAGCTGCTGTCCCAAAATCACTTTGAGTCGCGCACCATATCAAAGCGCCTTGACGAGGTTTTCCAAAAACGAGCACGTGTCTGGGAATTGGCTGGACATCGCAGAGTGCGGTTAGAGGCTGATTTGATGCACGCACAGTTTGTCAGAGACGTGGCCGAAGCTGAGACTTGGATTGGCGAGAAACAGAAGAAACTTGAAGCTGAGGCAACAAAGGGTCAAGTCTCAAGCCTCGAAGACAAGATCAAAAAGCTTCAGAAGCACCAAGCCTTCCAAGCCGAGTTAGCCGCCAACCAAAGCAGAATCGAGGAAATCAAGGTCAATAGTGAGACGCTGCTGACAAAAAAGCATCCAGCCAGCGGTGAAATTCGCCAACAACTAGATAATTTGCTCTCGTCCTGGAATAAACTATTAATCGAGTCCGAAAATCGCGGCAGGGGATTGGAGGAGGCACAAGATATCCTCGACTTTAACAATCAAGTCGAGAAGATCAAAGCCTGGATCCGCGACAAAGAGATGATGGTCCAGGCTGGTGGTACTGGTAAAGATTACGAGCACTGTTTGAGCTTGCAGCGCAAGCTCGACGACGTCGACAGCGATATGCGAGTCGACGAGTCTAGAATGGAGTCGCTCAACGCTTTGGCCGACAAATTGATCAAACAGGGCGAAGATGAAGAAACCAAAACGATTCAACAGCGCTGGGACACCTTGAACAACAAATGGCGAGGCCTACAAGGAGACCTCGGAGCGTATCGTGAGACTCTAGCTGGAGCTTTGGAAATCCACCTGTTCAACCGTGACATCGACGATACCAATCAGAGAGTCGTGGAAAAATCACTGGCCATGAATACAAACGACGCTGGGAAGGATTTGGCTGGCGTCGAGCACTTGCAGAGAAAGCAGGAGGCCATGGAGAGAGATATGACGGCCATCGAAGGAAAACTAAAGGAACACCAAACTGAAGCGCACAAGCTTTCGCAGAAATATCCCGACAACGCTGCCCAAATAAGCGGAATGCTCTCGGAACTCGAGACCAATTGGAACGAGTTGCAGCGCTTGACCAGTGAAAGGCGTGAAAACCTTGGCCAAGCTTACGAGCTCCACAAATTCCGAGCAGAGCTGCGAGAATTGGAAACGTGGGTGGCAGAAACTACCAAGCGAATGAGCGAGGCAGAATCGCCGGCAACTATCCTAGAAGCCGAAGCTCTATTGGAACTCCATCAGGAAAGAAAGGCAGAGATCGATGGTCGTCAGGACACCTTCAAAGCCTTGGGAGACCATGGCCGAAAATTGATTCCGGTGCAGGGTGAGTGCATGCAAGAGAGCTTGCATCATTTGGAAAATTTGCACCTGGAGCTCAATGAAGCCTGGCATTCTGGTAAAAGGAAACTCAAGCAGGCCCATCAGTTGCAACTGTTCAAAGAACAAGCTAATCAAGCCGACAGCTGGCTCGCGACGAAAGAAGCCTTTTTGAACAACGACGATCTCGGAGACTCGCTGTCCAGCGTAGAAAAGCTCATGCGCAAGCACGAGGACTTTGAAAAAATGTTAACCTCCCAATTGGGTCGCATAGAAGAGCTGGAGAAATTCGCCAACGTCATTCTTTCCGAGGACCACGCCGATGCGGAGAGTATCAAGTCTCGTCTAACCGATGTATCCTCGCGAAGAGACAAATTGAAGAGTAGTGCGGCCAGCCGACGAAGCAGGTTATTAGAAAGCCGGCGACTGCATCAGTTCTTGAGGAACGTCGTGGAAGTTGAGAGCTGGCTCCATGAGAAACAGCAGGTGGCTAGCGACGAGAGTTACAGGGACTCGACGAATTTACAGAGCAAAATCCAGAAGCACGCGGCGTTCGAGAGCGAACTAGCAGCCAACAAGGGTAGAGTGTCCGCTGTCACCAGCGAAGGCGAGGCACTCGTCAAAGAGGACCACTTTGCTTCCAAGGAAATTCAAGAGCGAGTCAACGAACTTGACGCGGAATGGGAACTGTTGCAGGAAACCAGCAAACTTAAGAAAAATCGTCTTGACGACGCGTACCAGGCACTCCTGTTCAACCGTACCCTGGATGAATTTGAAGCTTGGATGGACGAGATCGAGACGCAATTGCAGTCCGAGGATCACGGCAAGGACCTCTCGAGCGTTGCTAACCTCTTGAAGAGACATACGAATCTGGAGAACGACGTTATGAGCCATAACGAGGCCTGCGAGTCGATGAAAGAGACCGCGGCCAATTTCCAACGTGCCAAACACTTTATGAGTGAAGAGATCCAAGAGAGGGCCTCTGCCATTATCAACAGATACCACGGCTTGCAGGAGCCAATACAGATACGCAGGGACAACCTCGAGGACGCCAAACTGCTGCATCAGTTCGCTCGGGACGTCGAAGACGAGCTTCACTGGCTGTCCGAAAAAGAGGTGTTGGCAGGTAGCAAAGACCTGGGTAGCTCGTTGACGACGGTGCAACGACTACAGAAGAAACACCACGCACTAGAAGCTGAGCTAATATCGCGCGAACCGGTTGTTTCGTCGTTGGCGAGCAGGGCCACCGCCATGGTGAGGAGTGGCCACTTTGCCTCGGAAAAAATTGACGCCCTGTCTCGTGAACTTCAGGAGAAATTGATACACTTGCGAGATCTAGCTAGCAACAGAAAGCTCAGGCTGCTCGATGCCGTTGAATCCCAGATGTTTTATGCCGAAGCTGCCGAGGCTGAGCAGTGGATCAAAGAAAAGCAGCCGCTACTCACTTCGATGGATTACGGGAAAGACGAGGACTCGGTTCAGTCGTTGTTCAAGAAACTGGAAGGCGTTGAACGCGATCTGTGCGGCTTCACGAGTACCATAGAAAATCTAAAAAAATTGTCGAAAGGCTTGATCGAGAGGCATCACTTTGACAGTAAGAACATTGCGTACAAGCAGTCGGAGATCGAGCACAAATTCGAAGACCTGCAGAACTTGAAGGAGAAACGGTCCCAGAGGCTACTTGAGAGCGAAAAGTATCACAGATTCATTCAGCAGGCCGACCAGGTCATCGAATGGATCGGCGATCAGACGACGATTGCAGCCTCCGAGGATTACGGTGCCGACGTCGAGCACGTCGAGCTGCTGATTCAAATGTTCGACAACTTCCTCTCGAGCTTGATTAGCAGCGAAAACCGAATGACCGGAATAATTGATGCCGGACAGAAGCTGATAGAAGAAAAAAATCCGGAATCAAGCAAAATCCACATGAAGATCGACGAGACGAAGCAGCAGTGGGAGGACCTCAAAGAACTGGCCCACGCACGACAGGAAGCGCTAGCCGGAGCCAAGCAGGTGCACATGTTTGATCGCACGGCCGACGAGACCATCTCCTGGATTCAGGAGAAGGAAGCCACCCTTGGCTCCGATCACGAGTACGCTCACGATCTGGAGACCATACAGGCTCTCGTTCGAAAACACCAGGGCTTGGATACCGACTTAAAGGCAGTGAAAGAGCAAGTTGACTCGGTCATGGAAGAAGCGTCACGATTGGCCGGGTTGTTCCCGGACGCAACGGAACACATAGCCGTCAAACACGAGCAGGTGGACGAGGCGTGGAGCGATCTGCTGGAAAAGGCCGCACAACGCAAGAGTAAGCTCGTCCAAGCCGAACAGCTGCAGGCGTACTTTGACGAGTACCGCGACCTCATCTCCTGGATCAACGAGATGGTGGCAAAAATCACAGCTCCAGAGCTTGCGCGCGACGTGCCGGGCGCCGAGGCTCTGATCAGCCGGCACAGCGAGTACCGTGCCGAGATCGACGCCCACGATGATGCCTTTGCCAAATTCTACGAGGCTGGACAGAAACTCGTGCAGCAGGGGCACTTCCTTGCCAAAGAGATTCAAGAGAAGGTCTCGGTTCTCAAACAAAGGAGCCAGACTCTCGAAGAGACCTGGGAACGCAGGAAACTCATTTACGAGCAGAATCTTGATACGCAAACGTTCAAGCGCGACGCCGAGACGCTGGAGAACTGGCTCGTAAGCCGAGAGCCCATGCTCAAGGACGAACAGCTCGGAGAGTCCATCCAGCAGGTCGAGGAGCTCATCATGAAGCACCAAGACTTTGAGAAGACAGTTGAGGCTCAAGAGGACAAGTTTAATGCGATCAAGCGTATCACGATGCTAGAGAGGGCCTTCCAGAAACAGCTTGAGTCTGAAATGGCAGCCCGACAGGCGGAAAAGGAGCGCACCGAAAGGGCACGCCTCGAGGAGCGCAAACGCAAGGAAGTGCAGAGAATTACCGAGGAGCGGAAACGAGAAGAGGAGCGCAGGCGATACGTCGAAAGCCCGCGACACGCATCCAGGAACGAGATGAACGGCACGTACGACCACGATCCGTCGATGGACGGTTCGCCCTCGCCAGTAAAGAGTGAAGCCAGCGATAGTTCACAAAACACCACGCCCAGCAAGTCATACGGTGGCCTTCATCACATGCTTAGCGACAGGCTTCGCAGAACGTCCGCCGCCGACATCAAGCGCGCCGAGAGCATGAAAGTGGACACCAAGAAACCAAGAAGAACGCCAAGCTTTACCACGAGGAGGAGAACGCAGAGCTTTAGGAAGCACCAGAGGATAGAGAATGTGGATTCTCTGCCACCGGTCGAGATCCAGGGTGTACTGGAAAGAAAGCACGAGCTCCAAAGTGGCGGCAAGAAAGCTGCCGTTCGTTCGTGGAAACCTTATTACACTGGTAATTTCACGGGAGGGAAAAAAAAATTTGCAACCTTTTTTCACTCTATTATTAACTTTCTTTTCTAGTTTTATGTGGTCAGCTGTTGTGCTTCTTCAAAGACATCGATGACTTCCAGTCTAGCAAAGCGGCCACTGCTCCAATCAATATTTTTAACGCGACTTGCGAAAAGGCTGATGATTACACCAAACGGAAGAATGTATTTAGGCTGAGGTGTACGGATGGCTCGGAATTTCTGTTCCTGTCGTCCAACAAACAGGACATGGAAGATTGGGTGAACAAAATCTCCTTCCACGCAAAATTACCGCCAAGCCTGCAACTCATGAGTTACGATGATTCGCACAAGGTAAAAATGACACATTGAATGTACGAACTGCCACGATGAACCTTTTTTAAATATTCTTAATTTATTTGGTATTTTTCAGGATGGCGTACACAACTTGACTCCAGATCACGCAGAAGACACTTTATCGACTGGCAGTAGTCACGCTTCGACACCCGAAATGGAGCGCAAGAATTCTGTGATTAGACGCGATATGCCAACGAGTCCCAACAAGCCTCCAACCGACTATTCTCCTCAACATCAACATCATCACCAGCAGTCAATCAGCAAAAAACGCATAGAAGCCAGCAGAAATTCCGACATGTCGAGACTACCTCCCGATACTCAGCCGCAAAAAGAATTCTTGCAGATGTACATGCAGCAGCAACAGCATCATCACCATACGGTACAGAAACCGGTTCAACAGCAGTCGAGACAGCATGATCAATTCGTTCAGAGAGAACAGCAATACATGACTCATCCGAGCGACAAACCACCTATACCCCCAAGAGGAGCTCCTCCGCCAGTTCCAACAAGATCACCAAGTTTCGACGGTTCAGTTCCGATCAGACGAAATGGTATTGTTGAAAAAATATGTTTTATTTTAATCTTGGATACATTGCAATGATTTCTTTATGAATTCTTTTAAGATGTAGAACACTATGGGCAGCAATCGAGGCCACAATCTTATCAGCCACCAAGTGGAAACGTCAGTGTAAACGGTACCTCTGGTCAATATAACAAAAATGACGGTGGTTGGCATCACTATCAACAACAAGGTATACGCACTGCCAGTAAAATGATTGTTCCAAGTGTTCTTTATAAATTTACAAAATGAAAGGATTTTCACTAATTCAAATTGCGCTTCACAGAAATAGTGCCTCCTCTACCGACTACAGCTCCGCCTTCCTCGAACAAAAATGCACATTGGAATAGTGCACATGATAATGGTAAAGTTGCTACACATGTATATCTCGATTAATGCGTTCCAACAATTCTTCAGAAGAAACATTATGTTTTTTTTTTTATTTAGCATATGGAAACATACCAGTTAATACGAGACAAGTATCTCCACAACAACACCAAATGAACACGTATGCCAATAGACCGACCTCGCTACCTCCCTATGTCCCTCCACCTATGGCATCTTCTCCCACGACGCCCGCGAATATATCAGTGGTCGATGGTAGCGGCAGGCGAGCCTCGGAAAGTGGCTCAGAAAGTGAGCACAGCTTCAGTGGATCACGTAAAGATCGCGACTACAAGAAAAGTTCTGTTCTGAGCAATCTATTTGGCAGACGCAAAAAGCCTTCGCAACAGTAATCGCGCGCATACTCGGTGAATACCGAGAATATATTTTTTTTATGAAATGTACTATTTGTTTAAGTATTTTTGTTAGATTCTCAGGTTATACTCATTGTTTATAAATGCCTTGACCATGGCTTGAACGTTTTCAAGTTATGTGAATAATCATTGAATGAATTTTTTTTTTTATTCACTATTTTTGTTGAATAGTTGTTGCGAATGATCGCAAGTTATAAAAAAACTTTTTAAAAATTTAGAAATCAGTATCTTGAGTCTGGTACCAAGAAAAAGAGAAGTGATCAAAGTTACAGAACAACCACTACTTTAGCCTGTCAAGCCAGAAGAATCAGAATCAATCAGCAATCATTGAATGGTATATGTGGTACAAAACGTATATTCTGACTTGAGATGTACCTGACCATGTAATTGAAAAAACGAGTAAGATTGTAAACTCGACAGTAGCGCAGAGATTTGTGTTTATTTTGTAGATTATTTAATTATATATATGTTGAAAAGAGTGTTAAAAAAATATTGTATATTCACATTCTACTATTCCGAATCAATAATGTATTAAGATATACGAAATGAAAACTTATTCATATTGTAGTTTTTAAATATGAAAAAAGCTTTCTTTTTTGTAAGAATAAAACATCACTGTAAAGTTATATGCTTAATAATTACCCATGTCTTTTTGAAATTTTTTTTTATTGTACTATGCTTTAGTGTTGTAAAACTAATATACTGTAATCAAGTCTAATTAATAAAGACGCGACTGATTTAATTTTTTACGACTGTAAAATTTTTTTGTAATTGAAAACCTATAAATTTTAAGTGTCCTTAATAAACAAAGAACTCTTTTAGACTGAAAAATTTACGTACTTACAAGTTAACTGTTTATTGGAACTATAAAGTTAAAGGGCTGTGCTTCCATGAGTTAATAGTAAAAAGTCGTAAGTATTGTAATTATGTAAATGTGGTCGATTTTATAAGCCATATAAGATAAGTAGAATATTTATATTTTTGGAAGTCAATTTTCAGGTAAAAGATAAATTGTACGTTTGCCGCAAACAGCAAAAAAAATGTCAACTTATTAATTTCTACTTCTAAAATTAGTTGCGGCTGGTTTATAATTAATTACATGACTTTACTGTAAGTAGTAAAAATTATTTGGATCAGCGCCATCTAGCGGTCTTTATTTTTTGGCCAAAAGAGGCTCCTAAAATTCTGAATCCGAGCAATCAGGATTAGAGCCATTTAGTCAATTATAAACCAGCCGCAACTCATGACAAAGCTACAAAATAAAAAAATAACGATACATGTGTTTTTGGCGGCAAGTTAACAATCTGTTTTCTACCAAAAAATTGACCACCTATGTATTTATACTTTTGAAGATACATTTTCGAGAATAAGATAGATTGTTAACTTGCCGCCAAAAACACATGTATCGTTATTTTTTCATTCTATAGCTTCTTCATAAGTTGCGGCTGGTTTATAATTGATCAAATTGCTCTAATCCTGATTGCTCTGATTCAGAATTTTGGGAGCCACTTTTGGCCAAAAAATAAAGACCGCTAGATGGCGCTGATCCAAATAATTATTGCTATTTACAGTAAAGTCACTTTATTAACTATAAAACAGCCGCAATTGATCTTATAGATAAACAATAAAAAGTTGACGTATTTTGTGCTATCTGCGGCAAGTTTACACTTTACCTTCTATCCAAAAATTGACCTCCAAAAGTATAAATATTCTACTTATCTTAATATGCTTATAAAATCGATAATATTTACAACATTTTAATACTCTAGACCTTTTACCATTAACTCATGTAAGCACAAATTAATCAGTCGAAAAGAGACAACTGAAGAAAAAAGGTCTTAAAAAGAAGCACAGTCACACGAAGAGTCTTCTAAGAATGGAGCATCGGATCTCACGAAATGAAAAATACATTTATTACAGAGAAGTAAGTTTTAAGTAATATAAATAAACAAAGAACCCAACCTTCTCTGATCAAGTGAGATCCAATGCTCCATTCTTAGGAGACTTTTCGTGTGAGTGTGTGACTGTGCTTCTTTTTCAGGCCTTTTTTCTTCAGTTGTCTCTTTTGGACTGATTAATTTGTGCATACATATGAGTTAATGGTAAAAGGTCTAGAGTATTGAAATTGTAAATATTATCGATTTTATAAGCATATTAAGATAAGTAGAATATTTATTTTTTTGAAGGTCGATTTTCGGATAAAAGATAAAGTGTAAACTTGCCGCAGATAGCACAGAATACGTCAACTTTTTATTGTTTATCTATAAGATCAATTGCGGCTGTTTTATAGTTAATAAAGTGACTTTACTGTAAATAGCAATAATTATTTGGATCAGCGCCATCTAGCGGTCTTTATTTTTTGGCCAAAAGTGGCTCCCAAAATTCTGAATCAGAGCAATCAGGATTAGAGCAATTTGATCAATTATAAACCAGCCGCAACTTATGAAGAAGCTATAGAATAAAAAAATAACGATACATGTGTTTTTGGCGGCAAGTTAACAATCTATCTTATTCTCGAAAATGTATCTTCAAAAGTATAAATACATAGGTGGTCGATTTTTTGGTAGAAAACAGATTGTTAACTTGCCGCCAAAAACACATGTATCGTTATTTTTCATTTTATAGCTTCTTCCTGAGTTGCGGCTAGTTTATAATTGATTAAATGGCTCTAAGCCTGATTGCTCGGATTCAGAATTTTAGGAGCCACTTTTAGCCAAAAAATGAAGACCGCTAGATGGCGCTGATCCAAATAATTATTACTATACTTACCTTACAGTAGAGTCATATAATCAATTATAAACCAGCCGCAACTAATTTCAAATGTAGAAATTAATAAGTTGACATTTTTTGTGCTATTGTTGGCAAGTTTACATTCTATCTTTTACCCGAGAATTGACCTCCTATATATTTATATATACTTTAGGAGGTAGATTTACGCTTCTGCGTTTTTATGTAGACATCGTGATTGAGCTTCCGTAAATAGTAAATATTTGTTTATCATACGTACTAGTTATTATTTCAAATTATTTGTAATGCTCCGAGAATGGGACTTTGGTTTGAGCGAAACTTGGAAGTAAAAAATCACAACTTGAAGGCACAGTAAGTATATGTTTAAGGAGAGTATCCTGGTGATGAGCTAGTGCCAAAGTAGTGTACAAGGAAAGAACCGCTTCGACTTTTCGTCGTAGTGCTATAAAAAGTAATCGCCGGCATAATCAGTTTGCAAAATTTTGGTAAACGACAGAAATTGATAAAGTTTCTCTTCTTTTTATTACAAAGTTCCGTTGACATTATAGTTTCCACACGCCTTAAAACTTACCTTGTTTCTTACTGTTGCTACATAATAATTTGAGTGAATATTCATCGTCAATTACTATCCACTCATCCGCTGTGAGCAAATATAGTTATAATGAGTTTTAGGTCGAGTAATCATTTATTGTAGGAAATCCGTGCCTTTTGCGAACGCAGCCATAGCTTGTAGCTGTACTGCAGTATTTAAGTAACTTTATAGCGCTCTACTATTTCCAACATTTCAAGAAGAAAAACCTAGCTATTTGACCTTTTCCATGAATTCGTCAGTATTTTTCGTTTTTTCTTGTTAAAGCAATCGATTTTATATTTTTTTTTTTATTTTTGGAGGAGGGGTGTAAAATATTTATTGGAAGGTATGTGGAAGCCATATAGGTATGCGAGTGTCAAGTGAGTTAATAAGTATATCATATAATAATTTCTATTACTCACGACTGTGATCTCACAGAACTGCTCAGGTAGGTTGAGATAATAAAAAATTAAGCGTTTAATGAGTTCAAAAACTTAAAGCAGAATTTATTTTTGTAATCATAGGTGATTTGAGGGAAAATAAATCAACTATCATAATAACATTACAAAAATGGAGCATACGCAAAACGAAAATTAATGAAGTTTATTCAGAATCTCGGATATGAGTTTACATAAATATTGTAAAAACTATTTAGGTATTTTTTTAGTCGTATATATAAATATTTATTATAATATTGAATCATCAAGTTTTCATCCATGAAACATCGAATAACAATATACAAGTTAAATAATTAATTCTTTTAAACAATTTCAGTGAAAATCTTTTGGAAACGTATGTATAAATCACGCTCAACGTTGTAGTTGTAGATAATTAAACATAATTGAACGAAAATATCAAAATGATCACAATTTTTACCATCTGTTAGACAGAAAATAATTGCTTCACGAAAACTATATTTTACAACAGTAGAATATTAAACTATATTAGTTAACTTTTTTTGCCCGTTTCTCTAATTTTTTTCCCATTTAAAGTATAATCTAAAATTTTTTGCTGTAAGAAGAAGCAACGATCACGTAAAATGTAAGTCGTAACGCAGCCAGTCGTTGCTTGAAAAAGAAAGGAAAGTCTAATTGACCATTAATCGCGACAGTATTTTTTTCGTCAATAATTACCGATAAGAATGTTACAGAAAAAAGTAGAAAGGGAGCAAATAAAAAGGGTAATCATTGTGAAAAGAATTTACAACCTTCATTCATTCCAATATGTTTATTTCTTTTTCTTTTTTTTTCTTTTAATCTGAATGATAGTACAGATTAAGTTTTTTATTTATTCTTTTTCAATAGAATCAAAGTTACGTATCAAGACAAAAAAAAATGGTGAGAAAAAGCACTGCTCTTGGATCATCTTTTTTCTGACATTTTTACAAAAAATCACTAGAACACTGCATCGCAATATGGAGTCATAAAGGTGTTGTCCTAATTTTTCTATTTTTTTTTTTTTTCACAATTTTTTTTTATTCCAGAGTCGAGTTAATCACACAATAGCCAACTGCGACGCTCAATGCCAGAGAACAATTAACACTTAACAAAATATACCTAACATATTCTAAAAATCATCGGCGCGTGCATTTTATGTGCAATCGCTTTCAGGCGAGCGGCGTTTTGATTAGCTTTGCCTCGCTAACTCGGATCTCAATGTTATCTGTTCAAATACACTGTGAAGCGTATTTATTTGAAATGCACGTAGTTTTTAAGGTTTGTTTTTAAATAAATTTATACATTTTATTTTCTAATCTCGGATCAGCTTTTGTTGCCCAGTGAAAACTGCCTTCTGTCACAACACAATTAATACTTGCTTAAACTGGTGGAAATTGACATTTCTATGAGAATTTGGCCGATCTTAATAGTATTTCCACTTTTTTCTTTTCTTTTTTTTTTTTTCGTTTCGCTTTTATGCGAGCATTATTGAGCTCGTAAAATTCATTGTAAGACACCAAATCCAAGTAGCTATATTACTTATTCAATCATTATTTGTGAAATTCTCCAAGCCATGAGATATGTACTTATTTTTGCTCTCATAGTGTACAATGAAGTTTAAAAAAATTAACTGGATGCAATCCAGACTCCTTTGAATAACCTCAAAATAAACGAAATCCTTAAAAAAATCATAATATTGAATGACTTGTATTAAATGCATTGCTCGCACATTAATCGTATTTACGAAATAACTTGACACTATTACATTTCTTAAACATTATCTATATTATGAAGTCAGCTCAGCTGATCACCAATCTCACAGACTTGGATCATAAGAGAAATTTGATTGAATATAATAATGAGTTCGCTTAGTTTTTCCTTAATATAGCATACAAAGCTTGTGAATGGCATCTTTAGTTATGTGTTTGAGGTTTACCTCCTCGAGGTGCATAATTGGTGCGCGGATTGGAACCTCGTTGATTGGATCCGCGAAATTGACCACCACCGGCACCATTACCTCCACCACCGACACGATTCGGTCTAGCATCGACGTTGTTCCTGTCACCTCGAGGTGGACCTCCCCGGGACTGGTTGCTCGTCGACCTCTTGAAACTGGTGTTACTGTAACCACTGGTATTCCCATCACCATTACTGTTCCAGTTATTGCGCGGTTGATAACCGTTTTGATAGTTATTTCCATCGTTGTTACTGCGATAATATGAATCTGCAAAAGAAAATGGATTGGTTTACAGTTGAAGCTACAAAGAAAAAATAGCAAGAAAAAAAAAAAAAATTAACATATTCTTACTTCTACCGTTTTGTTGGTAGTTTCCTCGACCCCTGTAACCGTTCGAGTTTCCGCGTCTTGGACCACGACCTCGGAAGTTATTTCGTGGCTGATCGCCCCAAGACTGGGATTTCTGCAAATCTTGACCAGACTGCTGAGACGACTCCTGTCCCCACTCCCCAGTTGTTTCCGTTGAATCTGCCCAATTCGTGGAACTATTATTTTGGACGATATCGCCATCTCTAAGACCACTTTCGTTGCCAATTTGCTCCAAGGTATCCTAAAACGATAAGTGAGTCTATAAAGATCTTGATGAATTTAAAGGCATGAATTTTAACTCGTCAATTTTTACATGTAGCTCTTCTTTTTGCGTTCCAATGGCTTCTTGTTGCTTCATTGGTTCGAATGTTTGAGTTTGCTGAGGGAAACCGCCCATGCTCTGCTGACTGAACTGCATACTGGTTTGATGTGACGGAGGCATCGGGATCGGAGGAGGAGGGTTGGTATTGCCAAAACTAGGCAAGTGGGAAAGATCTTGCGCTGGATACATAACTGGCGTCGGGACAACATGAGGAGCAGCAAAAGATTGATTGGTGTACGTCTGGGTTGGAATAGGGGCGTTGAGACTAACGGCTGCTGCAACGACAGTTGCGGCCGAAGGAATGTGAGAAACTACGGCAGGTGTCTGAGAAACCGTGGTAGTATTAGATACTTCAGGATGGTCAAGCTCAGAATCTTGCAAGAAGCAAAAGTTAGTCGAAGGTCCGATCACGTCGTTAATTTTGGGCGGCGAGATCGAAGATCGGTGATGTGAAATTATGTCTTGCCGAGACTCTAGCTGCGGTGACACTGACGGCTGCAGTTGCTGAAGCCCGGCGACTGGTACATTTTGTTGCGACAATTGATTCGGCTGCTGCTGAGGTAGGGGTGTTATAGGCCCAGGAAACATGCTCATGTAGTTAGGGTCGGTAGTGACAGGCAGGGGAATGGTCGGGACAGGGAAGGGAGTTCCCACTGCAGATATGGGCATTGTAGGAGGAATGATGCAAGGCTGAATGGGAGCTGAGATAATACTTTCCGATTGGGATTGCACGGGAAAATCTTTTTCAATGTTGTTAAATCCACTTTCCACACTGATTTGCTCTGATGGATTCATATTGCTTATTTGAACTTCAGCAACCAGCTGCGTTATCTACGGCAAATGAATTAAATTAATGCTTAAAAAATAATGATAAAAAGTAAAACATTACTGTCAACCAACCTCCTCGGTAACTGTTGGTGTTTCGACTTCATTGCCCTGGTCAAAGTAACCACACTGAGTTATGGACGTGATGATCTCCTTGAGCTTAGAATAGGTGGTGCCAACAACTTCCCTCTGCTTACCCTCGACAATGAGCACATAGTGCTCCGCGACTTTCTGAGCTTGCTGGATAAAAGTCGGATCGGCGATTTCCGGTTTACTTCCTGTGTGCTTGAGCATCACTTCGTTGTACAAACTGTCCAGAAACTGGAAGTCCTCCTCGAGCAGTTTGATCGCGCCGTTCGTTCCGTTTAGAAAGTCTTCTCGCACTCCCTGGGCACACATGTTCATCAACGTGTCCTGAATCAACAAGACCTCTCGAACCTGAAAATAAAAGACACAATTGCTCTTTACTGGGAATTGTAACTTCCAAAAAAGGCCCGTTTCGCGTTCCACGTTCCAAAAATTCATGTTGCTACGTTTTACACGCGTTCCAAATGAGATCGCACTGTTTTATCCACACACGTAACGCGACTAACAACAAAAGGCAAATTGTTGCCAACAAAGCTTGTATGTACACAAAAGAGAAGAAAAGCCCGGCGCACATGTGTTTTTAGCCGATAAAAACAATGACTCGAGAATAATGGGGATTTAGGTAAGATAAATACACAGAAAGTGGGTGTAATATGAGTCACGAGAGTGACGTGACGGAGACCTCTCAGCGGACCCGCTCTCGCCTACCTTAGCGATGTCCTGCTGCATGCGCTCGGCGGCCTCCTTCCGGGCTAGCTTTTTCTGCTGTTTGATGGCATCGGTGGCAATGGTGTTGATCGCCTTGTAGAGGTCCTTCGTGATATCGAGGGTCTGTTGGACCTCGTCGTACTTGGCCACCGCGGTCTTTTGGTCGCTGTTGAGCTCACCGCCATTCTTCACGATATCCCGGTACTGCTCGAGCTTGCCCTGCGTTTCGAATTATCATCATTAAACACTGGAAAAATACACTTGGTAGCGTATAAGTAAATTCGCCGGCAACAATCCCGACCATGCCGTCGTCGTGTTATTATCATTATTGTTGTTGTTGTTGTTGTTGTTGTTGTTGTTGTTGTTGTCGCGTACAATCATAACCCCGTGATGATTGCAGATAGATATGGGTAATGTGTACATGTATAAGCACGCGGGTTTCCGTTCTTTCGAGAATGAGGCAGTAAGTATAGAAGAGCATCAGCGGAGGGCGACAAAGAGAGAGCGGACGGGAGGGGGCCGTGCTTGTGCTACGCGAGGATCACCGGAATAGGATATGTATCGTCCCATCCCGTGTACGCATAACATATCCGCGCCTCGTGGGCGAGGGTCATCGGAGAGTTTGTGGTAGCACTTGTCGAAACTCGTCGTATCTTGGGGGACTACGAGAGCACATGGGTCGGGACCGTATAACATGGCGACGATGCCTCTTCTGCTGGAGGATCACTCGCGTGTGACATTATAAAGAAAGGCAGAGCTAGGAGTTGATGGGAACGCAATTAACCTAGGGTACATGGGGTTAGAAAGGAATAGAGAGAGAGAGAGAGAGAGAGACGAGCCTCGTGCAACAGATATGATGGGTGATCGCGTTGGGAGTAATTTTGGAGAAATCGAAGCGAGCTCGAGCTCCTTACCTTGCGCTTCTCGAGGTTTCGGATCTTGTGCTCGACGACGATGATGGCTTGTCGAATCGGGTCCACGGCCTCCGTAGAGGCCTGCTTCTCTAACTTATTGGCGTTGACAGAAGGCATCCTTCACGGGCAACAAACGCGAACTGAGAAGTAGCTCGCTCGCTCGTTGGCTGATGCGATGCGGCCTGCGCTCTGCGCTTATTGCTATTGCGGCTCTATATATATATATGTACGTACACCTTCCGCCGTTTTCTCTCTCGTTCTCTTTCCTTTTCATACGGTATCCACTGAATCCACTCTCCACTTAGTCTCCAACCTCCAAGTCCAGCTCCAAGTGCACATAATACTCCAACTATAGCTTTTGGAGCTTGGAGCTTTGATATAAAAACAAAACATGATAATCTCTCTCTCTCTTTTACACATCTATAACTTTCGCCGTAAGTAGCTGATACTTTTGAGAAAGTTAGTACTTATCAAGACTGTTGATTGGGGAAAAAGCTTGGCAGGCGCGAAAGTCATAAGTACGTCGTGAGTCGTCGAAAAAATACTTATATGATAACTGCGTAGACATCGAAAACTTCCGAAACAATGTTAGCAATAATAATTATGACTTCTTTGGAGCAGTTGGACCATTACTCGGTTGTTGCGTTACTTACTTTCATCAAGTTGTACGAAATGGAACTTATTCATGCGAGTTCATAACAGTGCAATGTAAGCTTTCTCTTAATATTTTTTTCCTACAAAAAATCAAAAGCTTTTTTTACAAACGATAAATCAAAAATGATTCAAGTGTCTCGATCCAAGAATTGAAAATTTGTTCACACACTACCAACAAGAAGTAAGTAGACCGATGCTTTTCCAAAGTAAAAGTTTACTCAAGTATCGTTTCTCAAGGAGGTTCTCGATTAACATATGCCACAAACAAAGAAAACAAAACAAAAATCATATTAACCTTGGAGTCTTCCAAAAAAAGCCATTTATCATAAATAATGCTCCAGTTTTCATTCAAGTTTAAATACATACCATTTACTATTATAATAATGTGTGTTACTAAAAATGATCGATTTTATCTGTGACTTATGTGAATTAAACATGTATTAAAGTTACATTCGAATAGTTATCACAATGATAATCATTTGTCTAATTTTTTAACTACAACGTGCCATGAAAATAACAAAAAATTAGCCAAAATTTTTGCCAAGATAAAAGTTTTTCGATTTTATAAGCCATATAAGATAAGTAAAATATTTATTGTTTTGGAGGTTGGTTTTCGGGTAAAAGATAAATTGTAAACTTGCCGCAAGTAGCACAAAACTAGTAACTTTTTATTGTCTATCTACAAGCCTGATTGCTCGGATTCAGAATTTTAGGAGGCACTTTTCGCTAAGGCTATGCTAAAAAATGAAGACCGCTAGATGGCGCTAATCTAAATAATTATTAGTACTTACAAGAAACTGTATTTGTGTTATCGTTATGGCAAAAATGTACTCAAACTGCCAATAAAAATTTTATTCAATCAATCAGTACTTACAATAGAGCCATGTTATCAACTATAAACCAGCCGCAACTAATTTCAAATGTAGAAATTAATAAGTTGACATTTTTTGTGCTATTGTTGGCAAGTTTACATTCTATCTTTTACCCGAGAATAGATAGACAATAAAAAGTTAACAGTTTCTGTGCTACTTGCGGCAGGTTTACAATTTATCTTTTACCCGAAAATCGACCTCCAAAAGTATAGATATTCTATACTTATATGGTTTAATAAAATCGACCATATGTCAATACTCAGAAGTTATTATTATAATTACTACACATAATTTTACGTATATCTTACACCGTGCTCTCTTTACCAAAATGATAAAATCAGAGGCTGTATTCCGAAAATGCTGCCAGCGCAGTTAAGTTACGTAGGTTGTGGTGATTATGGTAATGCCGCATAGTCGGGCGGCACTAAGCGTCACCTGTACTAACTTATGTCAATGGGTGTTCCGCATGTCAACAAACTCCGAAATATCGGGTGGCATGGGAGTGAAACAGCTAAAACAGCAAAAAATCTTCTTGTGCGTGCTTATGCGTTTTTATTCAGATGTCGTAAGTAACCGGGCTTCCGTACAAAACACATTCGGGTTTGGAAGTATGTGCAATACTCTGTAAAGGGTTTGCGGCATGTGGCCTGAGCCATTCTCAAACTCTAAACAAATCTTGTGAAATTTAAAGAGCTACCACACGCGCGCGCTTCATACTGCTAAATAGACAGCTCTTGAATAATTGAATCAATAGAAATTGTTTAAAACCAATTTTTTTGGCTGTCAATACTATACATACAGTAAAAAGTACATACAACAATTTCACAGACCCAACAGTTAAACATTTTTTTTGTGCAAATAATCGAGGTTGTTCTTCATCAACATGTAGCGTATCTTGTTACCGAAACGACTGATTCTGTTATAATTTTTCAAGCAAATTAAGTTTTTTACGATAGTATACAAATTTAGTATAAAATACAATAATTTAATATGATTCGTTTCTTTTACTTAATCTAAAGCAAGAATTGATTGGGTTGTAGCGGTATGAAAATTAAATTAAAATATATTTCTTTTTTCTTTACGAAAAGGTAAAGGAAGGAACTATTGAAAACTCATTGAATACGAAATAATTTTTTTAATTTTATTGAAAAATTATCGATAAAAACATAAATCACGCAACTCATATTCTCAAGCTGATTCATGTCCAGCGTTAGATTCTAGAATCCATTGGAATTCCATATTTTCCTATCGACGAAAATTATTTTCTTTGTCTGATCTAATTATATTATAAAGATACTTACGGATGATAAAAAAAATGTACAAATGACATTTTAAAGTATATAGGTCTATTCGTCTTTTTCCTTAAAATACATATACAAGTATTCTATTTCGCGTTTTATTTTCGTTTTTAAAATTTTTTTTCATCCTTACACTACCTATACATACAACTGTCAGTAACAGCGTTCATTTTTGTTACTTAACGCCATCGACCGCAGCAAGAATTTCGTATCTCGAAGTCTTGCTTTCTCTGAAGATAATTAATTTTTTTTCTTTAGGAAATTAAAAAGCTTTCATCGTTTGAGAAGTTACCAAAAAATTACTTTGTATACTTTCAATCGTTCTAGCGCTATCGCAGAAGCTGACGCTTAGTAGCAAATAATTACATGGCACGACTTTTATGTATGTCCTCATGTAACTGCACTCATTTTTTTTATTTAAGTCGATTGTACAATTCCTTTTCTTATTAGGCGTAAAATTTTGTTTCCATCTTTAAATGCCTTTAATTGTTGAAAAAAATCTGATTCAACTGAATAATGCTCTAACTCCTACTTATAATTGTATACGCTTTTTTATTTTGTTGATTAAACTATTTCATACAAATACACCATTTTATAGCGTCATTATGAACATATTTTTTACAATTTACAAATATAATTTCACATGTAATTTTTACTTTTAAATACAATCGCATCGTTTAGCCATGCTTATTCTAGCCTTTGCTGGTGACCAAACGTACAATAAATCTGGAACATGTTGAAACTTAAACGGTAAGAGATATTAACAATAATAATAATAATAGTAATAATAATAAAATAATGACGAGTGTCGTGTTAATATCATCATAGTATAATGTACACTTTGATCGATGTATAATAAAATTATTAAGGAATATCACGCAGTTATCGGAAACTCTACATTGCTTATCTTCAAATATCTTTGTATTAAGAGAAAGCTTAAGAGCCCAACAAGATCGTTGTTGTCTTGTACTAAAGTATTTAAAAAATAGAGTTGTACGAGTTCGTTTCATAACGCGCGTGATGACGCCCAGGGCCAGTCTATTAGAGTTCAATAATTTGTCAAAATTGATGAAAAAGTAATGTGAACAAAAGAAACTTAACTCTAGCAAGAAAGAATTTAGAGAAAATACTTGGATTTTTTGTTTACTACTTTCATACACACATACATGTTTTCTTTAGTATTTTAATTCAAGCAATAACGAAAAATTTGACAATGGAATAAGCAAGTTAAATTAAAAACGATTTTTTTTTTTTTCATATCACAATAATTTTTTTCAAAAATCGCTTTTTCTTAAATTTTTAAACTAAAAAAATATCAAAATATAGATATTTAATCAAATTGTAAAAATGTTAAAAATTTAATTTCCAATAACTACTTCTAATTTGATATTTTTAGTATTTTCTCGTTAATTATTGTGTGAACTTGATACATGTTACATCAATTTGCTTAATAAAGCTGAATCGCACTTATTAATAAATTGTTGTTTTTTTTTCTAGACCTACAACAGATAACCCATACTTACATTTAGAAGCCTTACAGGAAGTTTGCTTTCACGATCTTATAACTGCGCCTCTAGTATCAGTAAAAATAAAAACATTGCAGACTTATACATAGAACCATGAGGAAGTTGTCTGCTTTTCTTGTAGACTAGGTTGATAATGCTAACTGAATGAATTTTCAAAGTTTTTATAACAAACACCACCGTTTCCTCGTTTGCACATACATCACTGCTATAGTTTAAACACAAACATAAAATATATGCGGTACACTACGCGTATCGCAGTAATGATTTAGTCCCTATATTCAATAAAATACGTTCGTTGAATATTCCGAATCATTTAATAAACAGTTCAACAAATTACTAGTCTCAATCATGGCTTAACAAATGCATTGAGAAACTATCATCCACATCAGAACTATGAAAAATTGCTGCACATTTGACTGTTAAAAGAGACTATGGCTTGAGATTCGGTTACCATATGTAATGCCTCTGGCATATTTGGAACGTTCACTTGAGCCAGTGCATTATTTGCAGCATTTTTGTTCGCGAGAACTTCCTTCTTTTTCATTTGCTGATGAATACTATCTATTTCTCCCCAAATTCTCCTCACATCTCGGAAAAGCTATAAACAAATTTTATTAAACGACTGTTGATGTTACATAACATTATGAAAGTTCACAATTATACCATACCTGATTTAACCACAACTCATCGGCTAACAATTCGTTAAGAATAATTGTAGTATCTTTGAGTGGATCTGCTATCCTTTTATCAGCTACCCTACGTGCACATTCCAAGAACATGAGGTATTTTTGATGTGCTACTTTATTAAACAGTGCCACTTTTGTTTGACAAATTCGACAAAACATAAAATCCTGGAAAAACAATTAATTATGAATAATTCTGTTTGCTTCAATGTCTGTAAGTGAAAAAATTGTAAAAAGTGCAACTACAGAAAAGCGTACTTTTTATCAAGGAAAGTGTATAAAGGGATATTAAGTATTCTCCCCTAGGGACATTCATCCGATTAGGAGTACAATCACGTAGTAAAGGCAACAGATGCGTGAATGTTTGTAGATACATGAAACTCGATACGTCCCCTTGTCAGAGACGAAATAAGAAAAAAATTTGAGTTGTTATTTTAAAACTAATCACAACTTTCTGCCCCCTTTCTTATTCGTGGTATGTTTTTTTAGTGCAGTAAAGTGCAAGATTATTCGTGATTATTTAGGGTGCATATAAATAATGCATTAAAGTAATCTACTCTCCTTTTACGAATACCATCCATGCAAAAAGAATACTTTTTGATAGTTGAAAATTTATTAAAATAAATTACCTTCTCTTGAGGCACTTGAGGATTGGGTTGAGAACCTTCCAGCGTTGTGCTATTGTAAGGCTGTCCATATAGAAGAACTCTGGCGTGGATTTTGACTCGACTGCATCCAGCACACGATTTGCCTTTATAATCCGCTATATTATCTCTAAGCACATTTATGCAAGGCCAAGTGGACAATGCAGTTACAACATTAGACTGCCAGTTAGTAGTCGAAAGCAATCGCTGCTTCCGCTCCTCCGTTATTTCGTCAACCGTTTTAACGTTCGACAAAAAGTAATCGTCTGTAATTATTGTAAAGTATTGAGATATTTTTCTCAAACGTAAAAGATTGAAACGTTTTATTTTTATTTTTTAATTGGCTGCGTAAATCGTTACCTTTTTCTTGGAAAATTTCTGTGAGGAAATTTGAATCCAGAGCTTGAGAAATTAAAGTTTGTATATACACTTCGAAATTATCTTGATACTTTTCAGTATCTTTCATAAATCTACTGATACATTCGCTAAAATAATAAAAAATATTAGTAAAAAATTTAAACATTAAAAAAAATTATTTTATGATGTATTCACGTAATCAACTACCTGTTGTCGTCAATTATCATATCGTCGCGCAAAAACTCAACAATCGTTTCCATTTTGCCTTGCTGCCAAAATTTGACTGGTACTTGTTGATAAATGTGACGGTTTTGTGGAGCCCAACCTGAATACTGAATAACGATAAAAAAAAAAAAAAAAAAAAAAAAAAAAATTTTTTTCGAACCAAATGTATGGTGATTGAAAATCATTAAACATATAAAAAGTCTACATACTGTTGATATATTTCTGTACAAAAATTTCCCGTTTGACTGAAATGGTTCATACTTTTGCAAAAGAGTTTTCCCATCAATTCTCCACAAGGGCGGATACTCTTGTTCCAAGTCACTTTTTATTACAACAAATTCACCAGACTAAAAAAAATTAGGTAATTTGTAAATAATTGTAAAGTATTTTTTTTTTTTTTTTATAAATTTGGCAGTAAGTAATAGAATAATAAAATATTAAAAAATGTACTATAAAATCATAAAACTCAAGTAAATACTTTATACAAGATTAAGAGAAAATAATGTGAAAATTCAAAACATGTGTCCAATGAAATTTGTAACAAATGTAATACAATTAATGAAACAAACACAGACAATCACAAAAGAACTAACAAATAATTGCTAACTAATAGTACTTTTACTTCAAAAAAAAAAAAAAAAAAATGTAAATTTAACAATTATATGAATAAAAAGTGCTGTCATAAAAATTGCATGGTTGAGTACAATAAAAAGAAAGGTTGAATTAGTACTATAAGCGTGCGTAAAAAATAACAATTACAATAAAATTAAGACATTTAAAGATTAATCATTGAGTTACTTTTAGTTTACTCAACCATAAATCATGCCAATAGAATAAGAACTACAACGATGATGATAACATGAACAAATTAAAAAATTACTAAAATAAACAGATAGATATGTATAAAACGAGTGTTAACGTATGAAAATTTACCGAAATTTGGTCATCTCCGAATGTAGAATGCTGTGTGCAACAAAATAAGCGTCACAATTAAACAGTGAAGAGTCGATGGTGATTTTTGTTAAAGCATTTTTGTCATTTCGTTAAAGTTAGGAACAATAACCTAATAACACTTGCATTAGGTTTTTAATTCGATGTTTGGAAATGAAAATTACAACAATGAGTAATTTACAATATAATCATGTGAAGACGATGTAACATAATAAAACAAAAAGCAACTTGCCTTCAGTCTGCGAATTTTAATGAATGGTTGTCATAGTGTATAACATTATACACAAATCAAACTTGATCATTTATACAATAGACAAAAATAATTGTCCGTATAGTGTTCATTAAAATTCTTCGGTAGCTTGTTGCTGTAAAGCTTTTCAAAAATCGAGAAACTAGTTCAATTAAAGTGACTCACCTTGAACGGGGAAATATCGATGTCTTCATCGCTGATGGAGGCCAGCAATTTCTCGTCAATCTTACACGAGAGCTTGATCGCGTTACTCCTGGCAGCCGGATCGATCGGATGCTTCCTTTTACGGCCGCGCTTTGGCCCGGCGACCAACTCTGTGCTGAACTCGATCGTGCCGTCCATGAGCTTGCGTCGTTTGCCACCTATGACGGCCCTACCGCGCTTTCGCCTCTTGTCCTCGTGATCCTCAACCGGCTTGGCCGCTGGCGTCCACGCTGGATCCGAGTCTGAGTCTTGCTCCTCCTCGGCCTCATGATCCTCGACACTCTGCTGGCTGTCGAGCATCTGCTTCACACTCGTATTATCCTTGGCCTTCCTCCTTGAACTCTCTCGACGCGGCAACTGCGTTGCTCCTGTGTTCACGAAAGGGATTTCGTGTTTAGCGGTAATTGCTCCCAAGGATAATCGTTACGAAAAAGGGCTTGCGTAATCCAAAGACGCTATAACTCTTGTGCATTTTCAAAAATACAATTGACTCCTTGATACAACGACGAGCGGTACGTGTGAGTGCTGATTTCACGGAGGTATCACTGTTTAAAAAGAATGACTAATCGAAAGCTCACCACGGCCGCACTAAGGTTTTTTTTTTTTTTTTTTTTTTTACCGGATTGAAACCTGTTTTCATTTTATACCGCTTTCAACGCTACTGTTTTATATTTCAAGATTGCCAATCGTCTGGTGACGATGATGCAAGGGGAGCAGTAGAAAAAAAATGACGATTATGTTGACACTTGGTTTTTGAGCGCACAAGCTGTTGAAACTCTGATATTTATTTTTCATTACGACTGTCTCGCGTTTCAATTACACTGTAAATAACTGAAACCCGTATGTATGCAGTTTGAGTAAGTTGAAAGTAAAAAAAAGTAACGCGTGAAACTTGATGCGAGAGGCGTTGAAAGTATCAATGTTAGTAGTTTAATTGATTTGCAGATAATGGGTTTTTTTTTTTTTTTTTTTTTTTACATAATGAGAAACCGCTCCAAGATATCATGTCTACATTGTATATCTGCGAATCAAAGATACAATGACATGCTCTGTTGCTTAGGTAATTTGATACCTTTCATAACCTCATAGCACTCTACAACTTCAATCAACCTTAATCGAATCTCCCGACTCTTTTTCAAGCGCGCATCATATTATGTTCTGCATGATTTTTCCGTTGCAAAATATCATCAAAACAAATATACAATTGTCACAAGAAACTGTTACATGTTTTTGTGTGTTTAAGTATTGATAGTTAAATCTTTAAATAAACAGATAAACGAAAATCACATAACAAACCGATAAATGAAAAGCGGTTAACAAAACAAATAACTTGCATTAAAATGAATAGGCTGTTGGCACTTACTCCTCATCCTCTTTTTCACAGTCACCGGTGGAAGAACAATGCCTTTGGCAGCAGCTTCAGCAGCCGCAGCTGCAGCGGCTTCGGCTGCTTTTCTCTTCCTGTCGGTGGGACCGCCGGGCTTAATCGGCCGACCTTTCCTTGGTCTGCCATCAGGATGAAGATTTCGAGTCGGTAGGGGAGGCATAGGCGCTGGCATCTGGATCGTTTGACTTTCTACTTGACAGGCACTTTCCACCTGGTTAGGCTTACGCTTGGATCCAAAAGGCGGTAGCTCGTCATCGCTCGAGAAACCGTCATCGCTGGAATCAAAGCTGTGACTTTTGCGCTCTTTTGGAAGGGGAAAGTAACGTGGATCGTTAGCATAGTCTATCGTTGGCATTTCTTTCGATTTATCTGACGAATTTTGTTGCGCCACCGATGATATATTTCTACCCCATGGATCAACACCATTGGATTCCATAGAACCATATGGATTTCTGTTGTTCCACGCATTATTTCTTCTGCCTATAAGCAAATATTCAGTATATTGTTTTCCACTCACCGATACATTATTTGTAAATATTAAAAAATTACACACCTCGCATCGATGGTGGAGGTGAAGAGTCCTTTTCACCTTGCAGGAACTTGAGGTAACTCGTCATGAACCCGGAATTGGGATCATTATTCGGCACCCGTCTTATATCTGAAGTAACGGGTGGCGGATTGTTGACAACAGCTGGCGTTACGTTTGAGCTCAAGTACTCGAGCTCTTCTTCGATATTTGGATTTATCACTTCAGGCTTATCAAGCGAGTTCACTACACACAAATTATTATTCTGCTGGCAACTATTGTCAATGTCCGTCATGGTAACAGAGTTCATCCCTATCGTTGGATTCATCTCGTGCACGATCTGTTGCTGCTGCTGTTGGTGTTGTTGTTGTTGTTGTTGTTGATGATGATGTTGTTGTTGTTGGTGTTGTGGCTGATGCTGCTGTTGTTGCAGATGATGCGTTTGTTGCTGAACGGGTGCAGCAGCCATGTGGTGAGTTGCCGGAGCAATGTGAAAAGTTGTTGGAAAGTACGAGATCGTAGGCGCGGGCGCTTGGTGAGTGACCAGGATTGGTTGAGTCTGATGCGTCACGGCACCTACCAAGTTCGCGGTGTGTATTTGAGGTGTCGGTTGGGGCTGAACCGTAAACGTCGTTGCTGGAGTGGCTGTGATTATTTTCGTATTATGAGGCAACGCCGTTAGGTTCCACCTCTCGAACTCGATGTAACCATTTTGCTGTGGCTGTGGTGCTGCCTGCACCGTCGCTGCCACTGTCGGCTGTTGCTGATTTATTACGACGCTGTGGTGTATAGGCGCTTGAATTTGGTACTCATTTGCAGGCGCAACGGTAATGAGTTCTGGCGGTTTATCCAAACTTTGGCACTTTTCACTCACGGGCACGATAATCGTCGCTTCCTGAACCTGAATGTGCTGCTTCTCGACATCGTTCATGTCGTCATCCTCGTTATCGCTGAGGGACGGCATACTTCGCTGGTGCTGTCGACAGCTGCTCAGGTTTTGTAGATTCATCGAACTACTATCCATACAAGACGTATTTTGACTAATCCCATGACTCGTGAGAACGCTCGTCTCGTTGCTGTCGGTTGTGAGATATGTAGAGTTGGAGAACTTTTGAGGGTCGTTGGATTGATGACTTTCGTTGTCCCAACATTGCGTCTCAAACGTTGCTCTACTCGACGCTGCAAAAATTAAATAATGGTTAATGCCAAGTTTCCCTATTTAAATTTTTTTAAGTTTTTGGTATGAAAAAAAAAAAAGTTTGGAAAGGTATGGGAAACGCACCATCTGTATTATAAGTTTTGTTCTCATTAGCACCAAGAGCTCTCGTGATCACGGATGAATAGACGACTTGATTTTGTTGCGAGGGTGACCTTGTGATGTTGACATCGAGGGGCGAAGGCGGCGTCATTTGCTGCGTCACACCACCTGCTTTGTAGGGCGTACTCGTCGTTCCGTCGCATTGTTGCTGCATGGACGAAGGCGAGGACATGCTAGCAATGGGACTATTGTACATAGGATAAGTAGCAGGGCTAGGCACGTGACCAAGAGGTGAAGCTTGAGAGTGGGACTGCATGGGACTGGGCCTGCGTGGCACGACGACCTGTGCGCAATCGGGACCGTTTTGCGATGTATTGGACGAGTACGCACTGTCCGTCGAGGTGGCAGACTTTGATCGCGCGGGCTGCATGTGGAAATCACCAGTAGAATCGGTTATCGCCGAATTATAGTGCCGACACGAGCTCGGGGCCTGCTGTTGCTGCTGATTTAGCACGTGGAATTGCTGAACGCCACCATTGGTCGTGATGGCCTTGCCAACCGTACCATTACTGTTCGCCGTGCTATAGCTTAGGTTGTGCGAGTCCATCATCGAAAAGCTGATGGGAGATGATTGGCTGCTATCGTGGCCTTGATCCGGACTCGTGTGGTTACCTTCACGAGAGAAGGGTGATGTATTAAAAGTGTGGGATCGATTTTTTTTTTTTTGCCTCATCTGATTTTGATTATGATCCTCGAGTATCGTGTTTAGAAAAAATCAATTCTATGTTTGATCTGCAGTAGCTACAGTGCACAAAGTTCTAATAAAATGACGACAAGTCGAATAATGTATTAAAAAAACACTGATACTGTAACGCAGGTTTTTTTGCGTGGGAGATTTTTTTTCATTTTTAAATAAAATGCTCTTACCTTGCACAACGGTTGGTTTATCCTGTACACTTGTACTGAGATAAATCGTTGTGAGTACGGGAGATCGCGACGGCATCTGAGTGATCCTGTTTGCAGGAGACGGAGTCGAGACGATGCATGACTGGTGATGCATGGACGATTGGACAGCCGACGAATTCGTCGCGGACTGATCGTCGGTCGAGTAACTCGTAGACAGACCGTCCGAGTCGAAGGCATTTGCGCTTTGGAAAAACGTGTGAGCACCGGCCATCGACGACTCCGTGACTATGCACTTGATTGTGTTATCGCCGTTATTCATGGGCGACGACTCCCTAGCGTCCGTCTTAGATTCGGCTCGAGTTATTCCCGTACCATTGCTGTAGTGCGTTACGAAATTGTTGTCGTAACCAACGCCGTTGTCAGCCGTGGTTGTTGTTGTTGGAGGGGACGAAACTGCGACGCTCTCGTGAGGGAGTATTCCAAAGGGACTCGTGATTTGAGTCGTGGTGGGGTGTGATAGGTTCCAATTGACTGTCGAAGGTGAGGTAACTGATGACTGATGCTCGTAATACGTCTGAAAATATTTGAATAAATTGTGATTATTATAATTTTTTCGTTTTGCAAATCTCAAAGATATGTATCCAACAATAAAATCATGAAAAATTCTTACGTCATCTTGCTGAGGCGATGCATAATTTCCGCAAGACTCCACAGGAGAGTCCGGCTTGGAGGTAGCAACTACTTGTGCCCTGGCAATAGGTTGTGAAGTTTGGGAAACGTAGTGCGTTTGCTGTTTGGAATTTGTGTGACTGAAGAATGGCGTGAAAACATCATAACCTACAGCAGTCGGAGTGGTTAGAAAGCCTGCCGAGTTGAACGACGAAGATTGTCCGGCCAGGGTTGTAGGTGCGGCTGCTGGCAAGAGCAGCTGGGCCGTAGTTGTGGAGGGCAATGTCTGAGCAGTGGTACTCAAATGATGGGACACTTGGTCGTTATTGTTATTTGGTGCGCTTATTTGAAACGCGCTGGTTATACCCGCAGTGGCACCTAGACGGTTACAGGACGCATACCAGGTATCCATTTATCCCTTTTGGCACTTGGGGAGTGCCTGTTAAGTTGGATTTGTTTACCAACCGGTCAACTTATAAATTCCTGATGGCATAGTCTCTTTTCACTTAGAATGACGTACTCGTACAGTCCCTTCAACGTCTGCTTATGCATTTGAACCATTTGAACTTGGCATGTAGGAAAAATGCCAAGCTTCGAAAGCAACTACCACCTGCAGTGAAAAATGATAACGTTTCATATATTTATGTACATGTACACACACAGACATATATATATATATATATATTTATATATATACACATATTCTTTTTATATTTGCGTCTGACTGTGCTCCACATTATTGTATTATGTAAACGTCTAAGCGCCCGATCCTACCGATAAAGCAACGGAGTCAATCTCATGAACGCACGATTATTCGTGAACAAAAAAAAATCGATCGCTCTCCGAGTAAGTACAACAGTTACTTATATTTTTTTCGCTCCCCACAACATGCGTCGTTGTCGACCAAAATTGAGGAAAATAATGATCGACCTACGTACATATGCTGTATACACTGCGACGCAAGTACTTATTATCGAACCGCTGACTCCGAAAATAAAGGAAATGGGGAAAAGAATAAAAAGGAAAAAAAGACAGAGGAGAGAAAAAAAGTGCAAAACACAACTTGCGTGTGCGCCAATGTACGAGTAGGTATGTATATTACGAGTGTAAGTATCGTTCATAAAAAAACAAAAAAAAAGAAAACGAATTCACACACAATCGAGTTTACTGTTGAATGACGAAACAGAGTTGTATTACGAGAGAAAATGCAAGAAACACACATGTATATACACACTCAAGTAGACGTGCAAGAGAGCGAGAGAGTAAATAAAAAAAAAAAAAAAAAAAAAAAAGTTCGTACGGGAAAATCCGCTGCATCGTCGACGTTGTCGAGGACGGAGCAAAGCGAAATACTTATATATCTTCGAAGAACGCCACAACCGCCGCTCCGACGGGACAACGACGACGGGTGAGAGTTACGACACACACGTGATCCGCCACAAGAAAAAAAAAAAAAAAATGCCGAGGAGCAAACACCTTCTTTACAAAATAACTTTTCACGCAAAACAGTCATTTGATGAACTTATTGTTACAGTTGGGGCACCGAACGAAGGGGGCAATATAATACACATGTGCACCGCACATAAAAGTTACTCTCTCCCTGCCATTGTTTTTATTTTTCCCATACTAGAACAAGTATATATATATATTATATTATACCGGCTGCGTTTGTATTTTACTCTCGCAAATTTCACGCTCTCGGTTCACGAGCGGTCCAGAAGAGCGTGTAAGTTTGAGCTGCTGCCGACTGTGGCAATAAGAAGCGAAGGCCCCCGCAGGGACGGCCGTGTACAACAAACCTACTGCTATATACCTAACACACAGAAAAGTGTAAGCAAGTATTATACACGCTCCACTGCTCTCCCGCCCCTCTCCTATGGGCAATCGTGTTCTCTTCTCTCTTTTTTCTGCGACGTTTTTTTTTTTTTTACTCAAGAAATCATTGACTTTCGGTACATATTATATAGACGATCTACGACGACGCACGTTTGCTCCCCGTAATCTCTCCCCCATCGCATTGATGTACATATACACACACGTTACATGCTCTTTCTCTTTTATACTTTCCTCCTCTCCGTAGTCCGTACCTTTAAGTCCGTACACTTATGGTAGTTACAGTATTACCTACTCCACCTCCGTCCCATACAATACGTAATAATAATAATAATAATAATAATAACGTAGTACCATCGCCTGTGTGATTTCACGTACGAAATAAAATACGCGTGTTTCGAGCATGATAATTTTACCGGATTTTACAGGAGATTAGGTTCCCCCCTTTTTTTTTTCTGCTGTACTTATACGTATACATTTCTTTTTCTCGTCGGCCTCGTTTTTCTTTTATCTTTTTCTTTTTGGCCTTATTATGTACGCGCAAATGTGTAATATGCACACTTGGCTCGTTCCCCGGCGATTATAGAGGCTAAAAGTCGCTCGGTCTCTGTTTCTCTAGTACAACTATATGTATAATAGCCAACTCTGGACGTCGTCCTCGACTCGAACGGCTCTCTGTATCATCAGTTATGCACATATTATGTATACGCACGATATGGGTAACGCTATACATTCTCGATGTCTCCTTTAGTTAAATAGCTCTCTTGATTAATTATTGCGCGCACGAGGCCGCCGGGCGTGCATTACACTCGCGCCGGCAGCGAAGGGTGGAGGGGATATCAACGTGGCTCTCTATTTTCGATCGGAAGTTTTTTGGAGCCATCGATCCGCGGGACGTATCATCAACGCTCGTCCATCCAAATTTTTCCGTTAGAATCATCGCGACTATCGTTAATTAACACCGACTCGTTCGACACACCCATACGCGCCCTCACACACACACACACACGCGACACCCACATCGATTAAATTGTACACGACACCTATACACCGGTATACACTCGTGAGATCGTATACACTCGCGGCGCGTCGTTTAATGCACCGTTTACTATCAGTTGTTTTTGTGTTCTGTACATTTTCCAACATAGACATGGGTGGGGGCACTACACGCATTTTCGGAGCACGCGTTGTTTTTCATTTTTATAAAATTACGTGCTCACCGAGGAATGTGTACAGCGAGAGAGAAAGAGAGATAGATAACGTCTCGAGAGATAGAGAGAGAAAGCGAGAAATTGTTTCATTCCCGGGTTTTCGTAATTAATTAATAAAAAGTGATCGGTATCATCCACCCGTAGCCGAGCGAACGATTGCGCGCGTGTGAGCAAGTATACGCGAGTGAAAACAATGGAACGCGCGTTGACTCGCGTGAGGTGGTCTCGTGCTGGTCTTACCATTAGGCGTGAATGGAGTTGAAAAAAAAAAAAAAAAAAAAAGTTCTCTCGTCCCAGGTGTAAAAAAGTAAGTATGCATCTGTAGGATTTTGCGAATGCTCCGATTCTCTTGGGTTGCCGATGCATCGGGACTTGCATTTCGAGAGAGGAAAGAGGAGGTAGCGAGGGGGGAAGGATATACATAATCGGCGCTCGGCTCGGAGAAGAAAAAAGGAAGACCACGTGAAAAGGAGAGTGAGAGAATGCGCGCTCGCTCTCCGGAGTGGTGGTGTAGGTAGGTAGGTAGGTAGGTAGGTATACTTAAAACTTACCAACAACACACAACAAGAATATATATAAGCTGCAGCAACATCAGCAGCAAAAGGCTGCTGCGAGGAAGCAAAAAGCAACGGTCGAGACTTCCGGGACACGCTGTATTTTATATATATATATACATGTACACACACACACACACACACACACTCTCCTTCTTTTCGTTCTCTCTCTCTCTCTCTCTTTCTGTATGCCCGGAAAAGCTCCCAGCGCATGTTTACCAGATATAAAACAGCATGGCTGGATGCTGCTGCAGTAAAACACGACAGCCCTCTTTTTCCCTTCCATTCTTTATTTTGCCTCGCTCTCTTTCTCTCCCTCTTTCTCCGCCCCTTAATCTCCCAGGCTGATCGAACGTTCGGCACTTTGGCCTCATTGTCTCTCTTTTCCCCTATCTCTCCTGCCCAGCCCAGAGCCCAGCTCTCTCTCTCTCTCTCTGTCACCCACACAATGATACCGTCCACTGTACACAGATTTTTCACTGCTGCTGTTTCTATTATATTGTATACATGGGCCATTATATTATACACACGACCACCACCACTCTTTTATTATCATCATCATTATTGTACACACGCTCACATGTTTATTTGATACACGGATTTAGTTATGTCTATGAATACAAAGTGGTAATACCTAGGGTATAAGAGGTTTTACAGTGGATCGTATGGCCGTTCGTTGTTTTAGGTATACATGCACGCACGCACACACCCAATACCAACACCCGAACTTTCGCATGAAAGAGGCGCAAAACACGAAATCGGAGCAGATATCGGAGCGGCTGCCGGAGAAACTCAATTTACGGATGACGGGCAATTAAAGTCCCAGACGAGCCGAGCCGTACAACAAACGAATGAACGAACGAGCGTGCCAGCCAGCAGGTACTATTATACATGGGGATCCAACCTACTCACATAGATACACATAATACATACATATACGTGTGTACAGTTGGCATGCACCCTGTGTAATACACATCTGCAACGCGATCGGCTGCACCCGGTTTCGATGGTGTGCATGAAAAGCGCTGCCCAAGGGATGGATTCACATGCAAGTTCTACACAGGTACCTATGTAGGTATGGGGATATAATTTTTTTTTTCACCAAGTAAGTACACACGCATCTGTACTTTTAATTGTTTGTCATGTAATGTTGTGCGTGCACCGCGTGTGTCAGTAGGTACGACCTGTTTCCCAAAAGTTAGAGTCAATTTGAAGAAAGCGGACGCGTCGCCCGGCGCGAGTTGAACGTTCATCAAATAAGTGGACGACAACAGTTAAGTTGGAAAACCGAGAGAGCCAAGAATAGTAGGAGGAGGCGCGCGGGCAGTTGAAGCAAAGCAGGCCGTAATTATAGATTCGTCGGCAACCTGTTTGCAGCCTGATGTGTCTGATGCCAACGTAGCTAGCTATGTGGCTGATGTATATGACATGTGTATGTATATGGGTAAGCTGCGATACCGTGATGGCCTTGCTATAACCTCCTCCGCCTCCCCCTGGCTCTCCTCTTTTAATTTTATAACCACCGCCACCACCACGCGACGAGTGAGTATCAGCGTAATCACGACGATCATCATGATTGATGACGACGACGACCATGGCAGTACAACCTATACCTTCCGTTCGTTTGTTGTCGTTGTGAATCAGTAATCGACAAATCCAAGGGAAAGCTGCTCCCACTATTGCGCATAATCTATATCTCTTGCAACGAGCACCCCAATCCTACCCCATGCATGTACACTTGTACGTAGGTGTTATAGATGTATATAATATGTATTTTACCGGGTTTGCCCTGCCTCTTCTCTTCTTTGCCACCCGGTTCGAAACTCTTTTTCTCGTTCACCCGTATATGATACTTATGTAGATTGTACCAACACTTTTTTTACCGACTCCAAAACTCCGAAATAAATGTACACTGTCCGACCATAAAACGAGAGAATAGCGCGCACACACTGTTTGTGGTACTTGATGTACACGGGTAAGAAGAGAGCACACACCGGTAGCACGATTCAGCTGCTTGTCGGGGTTGATTGTTAGTTTGAAGAGGGAATCTCAGAGGATTAACCAAGAGGTCGGCGACGAGGCTGATAAAGGGCGGGCGCGCGGGCGACACAGCGCCCTGGGCACATTCTTCATAATCCTCCGACGGCTCCCACCTTCTCTTCTTCTTCTTCTTCTCCTCCTGCTGCTGCTCGTCCCTTTATGTCCACCACCTCCTCTCTTGATGCTCTTCGGTCGGTTTGCACGCCGCCAAACTCTCGCCCGACTCCTCTTTCCTTCCTCGTTCGCACTCACACTCCACTTATCGGCTCGTTCGGGGCTCTCGGCTACTCGAGCTCGCTCTCTCCCTCGATATATATTGGTACTCTGCTCTCTCTTTTATAGAGGAAGTATGTATACGTACCTCACTCTTGTGCACGCGCACACGCATCGGCAAAGGTTGGTTGTTGCAGCGGACCAGAAATATGTACAACATACACACGAACGCACGAGCACAAAGGGGGGAATCCGGGGAATATATCTTCGATGGGCTTTTTTACGCCCTTGGCACGGAGTCACACTTATATATACACGCACACACTTTTGTACTCCCTGCAGCGTTGGTTGGTTGGAACTGGTGTGGAAGTCGGAGCACCAGCGAGAGCGCACGACCGAGCACTGAAAATAGGTCCAAGCGTATAAGTATAGCTTGCTGCTGTCGCCTGTATAAAACCTATACGTATTGTATACTGTATAGGTGTATACATATATACCTATCTATCTCTAGTGCAATGCTTTGAAGTCAAACGAGCGCCGCCGCCCGCCGCCGCTGCTCCGATTCAATCGCACGCACACAACATGAGAGGGAAAAAAAAAAGGAATACAAACGTTCCCTGCTGGTGCAGGTTCTCCGATGTGTATATGTAATATATGCTATAGGTGTCTGTGCACTATCGCGGTACATCGCCCGCCGACGATGTCGCCGCCCGCCGTTAGCCGCAAGTTGGAGCTTAAACGTTAGAGCTTTTTCTACTTTCGGCTCCTCGACAACTTTTTGTACGTACACACATACGGCGTGTTTTTAATTGTTTTCTTCTCACGCCTCTAATCTTCCTTTCCCTTGATCCGATACGTATACTTATATCTTATCCGATCGGAAAGACACTCCTCTCTTTTCTCTCCTGTTGCTATCTTGTTCTCACCTATAACAAGGCATGCGTGATACCGACGATTGCTGCCATTTTGACGGGGTCTCTCGAATGCTCATCGCCTGTTGGCTGGGCAGCGGCGTTGCACAAGCACACCTCGTATTTTATCGTCACCAATCAACCATCGGACAAACATCGCATTGCAACCCAGCGCAAAGAGAGAGAGAGAGCTTACAGGTACTAACTAACACTAATGCGTGCTGTCACGTATATTAGACGGATACTTACGTTGATGATAATGTATGCACGAGCTGCACATGCACGCAATTGTCGACTTCGTCAATGAAGAGACCCTGACTCCCGCCGCCGACGACGACGACGATGATGATGACGACGTTGCTCCGAAACTTACTATATAACCCCTTCGACTTGTACACCGCGTACTCAGGGCACTGCACTGTACTGTACTGCACACGCGGCACGTTTTCAAGGGGCAATCGACGTCGAGCTCCCTACTCTCCTCCGGCACTGCGCTCCTGATGTTGTACTATACGCTTTCCTCTTCTTTTCTGACTCCGAAGCTCCGATCTGCGGAACGCAGTCAAGAGATACAGACACTTCGCTCACTTTCCCTTCCTTCCTTTTTAGATATACACGCACCTACATTATACTTTATAACTCATGGGTATACATGTATATCTCTTTTTCACCTCCGCTCTTTTTTTTTTTTTTTTTTTTTTTTCTCTCTTGCGCGCACGCCGCACACGAACCGCCCAACGCCGTGTCACTGTTTATTTCATACAAACATATAATACACGTATGTTTCCCCAGATTTTCCGAAGCACGGCTTTATGTAACTTTACACGTAACTTTTATGCTCATTTCACGCGCGCACCGAGTTCCGACGCTTACTCCAAGCTCCCCGAGAAACGACTGCGCCAGCTAAACGCTTTAGCGCATCTGTTCATTCCCCGAAATGTGTGTATACGCATATGTGTTGTGTATAAACATGCATACATGTACAGATGCAGCCAGCACGCCGCAACAAACTCTCTTGAGCAGTCTGCCGCGAATTCGGTGAATCTGAAAATGTGTGAGTGTACAATTATAGGGATACCTCGCCTCAACTCAAATGGGAGAAAATCGTGCACTGATTGGCTGATGAACAAAGATGGCGATCCCTTATGCGGTAACCATGAGTTGGAAAGAGAAAAAAGATTTTTGCGTGAATGGCTGCCTCTGCTAATCCCATATATACATGGCAAAAGTGAGTAACCTGTGATCTGTATACGTATACACGTACTTATACCTATGCATGTGTGTATGGACATATGGAGAAAAAAATTTATTGGCGCGGGCTATCAACACGCGTCATCTGCTCGATAATCACTTAGGTAGGGTATAGGGTAATCATTAGTGCGCGTTTAACATATAGGTAATGTAATCTATTTATTATGCTCGTTTGACGCATTTTTAGTGGGTACTTATACCTACTAGTATAATAACCCTATACCCTACTTGTACCATCTAAATCACGAGACTGCGCACTTTTTTAGCGCGCAATGTTATCACGTTGAGAGGGAAGAAACGCACGATTTTCTCATAAACCACTCGTTGTTCTTAATTAGCCATTTGCATTTGTACCTAATACCAACACAAGTTATGCTACGATGAATTAATAAAGATTATTAAGTACCAATAAGTACTCCGGTATGCTGAAGGAAATAGTACAATTACATTCCCGGGGGAAGACAAAAGGGCTCACGTAACTGAAAGACAAAGGATGTAGTACACATAGAAAGAAGCTGCTACATTTCCATATTATATGCATGACCGGCAACAAGTACTTATAGCTATTGAGTTACAGCACCACTTAAGTATCAGCACTACCACAAAGAAGTATTATAACACGCCATATAATACTTACGTATATACAAGAGAGAGAGAGAGAGAGAGAATTGCGGGGCAAAAAGGCAAACACTGCAGATGTGAATTACGTTAGGTAGGTTGGAGAGGGCATACTTACCTACAGCAGCGTTTTGCCACCGTGCCATCGAAAACAAGGAATTGAAAAAACTTCCCAAGGTAGCCAAGGGCAACGAACCAACACGCAAAATGAAACGTCGCGAGAGAGGGCCTCCGGGGCGTTGTGTGTAGGGCACACGTTTACTTATTTCCCTTTTTTTCATTCCAAGAGACACACACAGACGGGTCGTCGGCGCGCATTAGCCGTACATGCGGGCATACCTGCTTACAAAAAAAAACAGCCTATACATACTTACTTCTTCCTCCTCAGGCGTATAGGGGGCGAAAGGGGGATAAAAAAAAAGGGTTTGGCATCAAGCATTGTATTTATTATACATGTCACATTAGCACTGTATGGCCCATTATAATGTATACTATGAACCGCTGCAGGTGTGCGAAAGCACGCACGCGAGCCGGGCGCCGCGTCACGGCTGACCCGCTGACGCTGTTGCGCTTATTGTGCATCATCATCAGTACATGTGAATATTATATACTTGTATGTATTATTTATGTTTATTGTACCAAGCTACCGACCTACCTCAGAGAGAGAGAGAGAGAGAGAGCAAGCGAGCTCAGCGACTTCTTGCAATTCTTGTTCGGTGGCAGCCGCAAAGTAATTAAGTAGCTCACACGATGCACGCTTGTGTACGCATGCATATGCAAGTGTTGTGTGTGCCTATGCATACAAAGTACTAAAATAAATAGTTGTGTGCGGGGTGCAGGCTGCGTACAATATATATTGTAATGTAAAAAATTGAACTCGAGGGATCTGGAACTCGGTCGGAAACCTCCAGGCTCGGGCGCAAGTTGAACAAACGAATGGGAAACGGGGGTGAGGTGTATAGTGTCCTCCTCTTCGGTTCTGTTATTCGTTCGTTTGCCTCCACCTTCTTCTTTCCTCATGGTCTCGTTTACTGGCTTTTCGGAGAGAGAGAGAGAGAGAGGGAGAGAGAGTCTACTCTCCCGTTTGGCTTCACGAGAGAGCGCGCGTGCTTTTACGCGCTTACGCGGCAGATAGCATCGGGAACTGGTTTTTGGCGTTGCTCTCCTCCGCGTGCAGGCGTTGAGGAGTTTCTCTCGGCTGCTTGGGACTCCTCTCTCCCTCTCTTGTTTGGCCTTTTGTACGTGTATGCAACAACTTTTTGTCAAATGTACTTTTAATTTCATTGTATGCAAATTCCAGATGCTTTCGATGAAATTCTTCAGATAGAGGGGAAATATAATAGCTCTGCCATTGGATTGAAACAATTTGCTGGTAGCAAATGCGCAACAAAGTCAATAAATTGTTCGTTCGTGGAAAGAAAAATTAAATGATATTTTCATTGTCAAGGCAAAATAAAGGAATGAATTTCAATGGGACAAATAGTTGGCAGTAGTAACTAAGGTATATTTTGAAACTCGGTCTTGATTTTTGTACTTTTTATTCAACTCTTATGAAAACAAGAAATGAATGATATGAATATACTTCAACGTGGTTTTATCTGGACTACTTAATTTATTTTCCAGACGTTACACAAATAGTGTACATTATTTAAAATAAAAATTAAAAAAAAACAAAGTTTTTACACAGTAAAAACTGAGGGAACTAATTCAGAATTTTTTTAAGCAATAAATTAAGCCTATTAAACTATTAAAATTGTCTATTTGAAAAATTGCTTTGGAAGCACTTGCAAGCATGGCTTGCTAGCCCTTTTTCTTTATATAAATGGCTTTTACAAAATTATTGGTTTTTTTTTTCTTTTTTTTTTTCTTTCTATTTAATTCAATCAATGTATAATTATGATTGATAAGAGTCAAGCTCAGACTTTTACGATAACAAACAGTAAATGTTTCAATGTTCGAAAATAATTAATATTTTCAAGCGCTTTTGCATTGCTTCACATGTATATTTTTGAAAACACGAGTGATAAGTATATCTGTATTGTTGTGTCATCGTACATAGAGTAAGTGCGGAGAACGTCAATGTGCCGATTCAAAATCCGACTGTCGGCTACCGAAGCTGACCTCCTCGACGTTGCTGCCAGACGGCAAACTTTCTGTAGGCAGCATTGAGTAATTGATTTAAGTGACTTGTAAGATGTTGACTGACTGCTGAAAACTCTCTTTGTAATCGCGCCTGTTGAATCATCAATAAGTCAATAACTCCGTATGACTTGTTTCAAAGTTAAAAAAAAAAAATCATTGTGTTTTCTACCTCGAATGGTTTCAGCTTTACTGTATGAAAATTCTGTAGTGCCGTATGCATTCTGCCAACTTTTTCCTCGAGTTGCGGAGTCGTTGGTGGAAAACACCTCCAAAAATGTCTCAAAAGTTCACACGTGCAAACATACACACTTGCAAGTTCTTTTTCCACCTCTTTAGGAATTAACTCTATGAAGCCGACCAAAACTTTTAGTAAAAAGTATTCCGCATTCAAAACAAAATATAGCATTTCCAATACTTACGACTAAGACTATCCTCTCGAAATCCTTTCATCAACGATCCACCAGGAGTGAGTTCTCCCAGTGCTGATACAGCAGCAGCGGGATTAACTAAAGACGTTGATGGTTGTCGTGGTAGATAAGCGGTGCTCGACCATTTTTCCATCTCTTTCAACAATTGACTTATGGTAACTCTGATTTGATCTGTCGACGCGTCATGATTGTTTTCGTTTAATGAAACTGGGCCGTGTAAATATCTGTCGACTTGCGTCAGAACCAGTGGCGGTCCAGTATTTACTTGCACATCGTATTTGTCGTCAAGATCCTCAAACACTATTTTATCTTGTATACACCGCTGAAAAATTAAAAAAATTAAAAACAAAGTTCTTTAAAAAAAAGGTTGACTCTTACTTTTTTAGATTTTGGTAAATCAGAGTCTGCTGAAGCTGTTGCATTAGAATTAAAACTTGAGTTTTTATTTGTTATTGCTGAACCATTCGCCTGAGGATGATCTTTCATTGACAAAGACTGATTTTTATTGGCTTTCATAACCATGATGCTATGTTGATTAAATCTCTTTATCATACTCTGATGAATAATGTTAACGGATGATTTGTCAGCCTTAGCGGCTGCGGCATCTCCGACATACATATCCTCTACATTTATGTCATCGAAACCAGTCAAATCAACCGTAGGGTCGTCTATTCCCGCCTGGATATCCTTTTTCATTTCTTGATCATCTATTTTGGCACATTCTGTAAACAGATCTTTGGTCCCGACATTTATGCGATCTCTGTGAAAGTAATGAGATTGAAAAAACTTTGTCCAGAAGTCTGATTCGGACATTTTATGAGGCACGTATTCCTGATGTTTTTTTTTAACAGCTGGATATGTTTTGAATATACACTCTATTATATCTACTGTTAAATTGTATTTCAGTCCGTTACAGCCATCTGTTTGTGGTTTGATATCAGCCTAAAAATTTTTTCATGAAGGCAAAAGAATTAGTTTGTGGTAAATCAAAGCCTATTGTTAAAATCATAAAATTTATAAACTTACTAAAAAGGCACTATTTACACCAATGTCTTGCTTAGGTACTTGTTTGGCTTGAGTATACTGTGGGGCATGCTGAGTCCAAAATTCCTCAGATGTTATTACTTGTGTTATTACAAGATCACGATACAGCTGAAGAAGCACTGGATGTTCTTGCAATATCCTTGAGGAACATTAATGTCAACAAACTATTTTGCCATTACACGTCAACTAAAGTGATTTTTGCTCACCTGTTTTTCTCTTCCAGCTCCTTGTTAACTTTTTTCTTGAACTTGGGCAAGAGTTGCTGCAACAATTCTTTAACCTCATCTCTGTCTTGGACTTGTGCTTCCACTCCCTTAACATTGACAAAGTGGAAGGTCGAGGATGTGCCATCGTGCAAAACGACTTGCAATTGTATTTTTGGCTTACCCTCTGGCGAAATCTTTTGCACTGTACAACAAATAAGTCATGACCCTTTCTGCAAAATGCCTCCTTCAACAACAAACAATAACAACCAAGTTCAGGAAATAACAAACTACTCACGTTTAATGTCTGCATATTTGTGGCTAACCGAGACAGTATCTTTGTTGTCCAGCATCCACGCTATCCTCTCGTTCATAATGTATAAGGTCCCATCGCCTTTTTTGTACCTCACTTGTCCCACTTGCATGAGCACATCCTCAGACGAGGTTGTCATTTTCGTGTCTCGTTTCACTCGCAAAATTTAAATTAAAACAACACCAGGGTAAAAATCATAAATCCACCACGTGCCTTGTAACCAAAGGATGGTCCCATCAACCTGCTTACGTGATTGAATACAACATAATATTAGATGAATATTAAAAATCATTTTCAAAGGTAGGTACTCAATGACACCTTGGGTGCAAGATATATTTATATATATATTTTTTTTTACACTACAGTGTAGTGACTTTTTCAGAAGTATTTGCACTACAAGATGTATATAATATAAAAAAGGCAAGGATGCAGCCAGTGACAAGAATTAAAACTCGTTAATGCAAAATCGACGGTCGTCGTTTTTCTATAACACTCAATCTGCGGCAAGAGAGTGTGCGACGATGTCAAAGAAAATTAATCAATCAATCAATTATTTGTATTACCTTTTATATAAATTTAGATCAATGCACTACTGTATTTGCACACACACTGCACTTGAATCAGTTAAATCAAGGCTATGAGATGAGACATGAGACAATATAATTCAGCTTATGGCTTTTGCGCGCTATATAGTAAAATAGCAAAATGCCAAAATGGTATATATATAGGCGCTATAGCCGGTATAAAATAGTGCAATTCACTGAATATACACATTTTGTATACCTGTATATACTATCGATTCCCACATGTTCGAGATTTGAGAATCGATAGCTCTCGCATGAAAGGCGCGCTTTTTTGATCTTCCAGGAACAAGAGCACGTGGACCTACTATTGCTGTTGGTAGGTTTTAACGGGCATGATATGACTTACAAATACATGATTTGTATCTACTAAACTATTCAGTAAGTAGGATAAATATGATGAGAGTTTTTACAAAAATGTACCCTCGAAGACCTAAATGCTACAATACTTTCAATTAAGTTGCAGATGCCATGTTCGAGAACTCGCTTGATACTTTTTGCACCGCACAAATTCAAAACTTTCGGTCTTGTATACTTAGTCACTGAATCAACGATTTACTCTCAAGTTAAGCAATTACTGTCCAATATATCTTGATTACAATACCTTATTTTTGTCAACATCGTGGTACATGACGCCAACTGGTTAATAAGTATACATATTACCCTGTGTAAGGCAATAAAATACTTGACAATTTCGTTTATCACTGTAGGAAACATTTTATGGCATTTTTAAAACAACAAAATGCTTTTGTTCTCTAAAGCAACAATATCATCAACGGATTCTCCGATGTCTGTATGTAAAGTGCGACAAAATAAAAAAAACATTTGTAAGTCCATTGAATCATCAACGTGAATCATCAGTAAAAAACTCGTCCCACGGAGGTATAATTGTTGTATTATTATAAAAAAAGTGCTCTTGCGGCAGGGTGGGGCTGGAGAGACAGGGGCCGGGGCAAGCAGGGCAGGCAGCAGTGTGAGAGAGAGGCGACGAGGTGGTGGGGGAGAGCAGCAGGGTTGCATAGGCTGCCATGACAGTCGCTGTCGGTGCGCAGCAGCACGTCGTGGTGGTGCGGGTCGTCGTGTTTCTCTTGTCGGTGTGTCTCGTCTTGTCGTCGTATTGTAATGCGTATATAATCGTGTATTCGTGCATATATGTAAAATGTACATATATAGTGACTAGTGTATGATATGTATACAATATGTGTTACCGTAAAAAAAGTTAGCTTTAACTCTATTTAACACGTTTTAACGGTCGAAAGTCTCGAAAGACGCCTCCTTCTGTGTTCCCTCTCTATACACAGCACTACGTGTTATTGTGCACATATATGTTTGTATGTGATTTGTTGTACCTCGGTGGTGTTCGAGTCTCCGTCTGTCTTGTCTTGCGAATGTCGTGAGACTTTTAATAAGTGTGCAAATGGAGTGATAATCTCTCAATCTGTTAGACATGAAAAAAACCACACCGGCTTAACTGCAACATCATCCATAGTCATCTCTGTACTTATCAGTGTTTGCTGGTATACATAGTATTATTTGGCCAAGGTGTGTACATTACTCTACAATCTGCATATTTCCCCCTAAAATTGCCGTTTCGCCCGTATGTCTTAACGTATCGAAGAAAAAAAAAAACAAAAAAAAAAAAAAAAAAACAGTGCTCCGAAATTAAAGGTATTTTATTTAAAAGGCGTAAAAGTGCGTGAATATATACTGACGCGGACTCTCGCAGGTGTGGAGTGCGTGGGCGTGCTCTCATGCTATCTCTACAACTCTGGGTCAGAGAGATTCTTTGCTCCCGTCGAGGGCCGAAGCTTTCACAGCATTACATATTCTCGACTAAGTAATGTAAATTTGTTTTTTTCCTCGAGTATAGCTGGCCCCCAGCCCGGCTGGGCCAGCCGTCCCCATGCAATCGAACAGAAACCCCTTTTGGCGCGTAAATCCGTGACAGCAATGCTTGATTATTTTTTAGCGTGTTTACGTGCTTCTGCGGGACGGGCAAGTGGTGAGGAAAGGGTAGAAAAACGTACTGGTACATATTATATATATGCCGTTATTGCTTTTTCTCTCCCTCCCTCTGTTTTGGAGTATCGGAGTGCGTAATGTATATGCATAATACACACTTGTGTATTCAGAAGCTGTCTGCTAAAGTTGTTGTAAACAAACGAATATCATGCTTACTTCAGTGCTCCGAAATAACCAACTAATATAATTGTTATACTTTGGTATAATTACAATACACGTTATATTACGCATGAAGCTAAAAGAAAAGCAAAACATGTATAACAATCTGCAGTTTCGCACAAGTATTAAGAAAGAAAACGAGCGAACGGTGCATTTTGTTAGGAATGTGTGCCCACACCTGGTTAGGTTAGGTCAAGAGCCGAGAACCCCCCCCCTGTAATTTTTATTATGCTCCGATACGGAAATCGGAGTCTTCTACTGAAAAAACTTGTTTACTATACTTGCACATGGTGATACCTAATTTAATTATTAATTTATTGAATGTAGTAATTACATTACTCGGTTTTGAGGGCAAGTTCGATAAGAGCATTTTTGTTGTTTTGAAACGTCAAAAATAAGGTATATGATTGTAGTAACTGTCTCGGACATCGAGACATATTATTGAGATCAATTTTTTGTGTTTATAACGTTGTCGCGCTTTGTTTGTTCTTAACAACAAAAATTAGCAATAAACACAGTAAGAGTTTCGTGAAAACGCAATAAAGCTGCGCAAGAGCTATCTGTTTCGTTTTTTACGTCTTACTCAACGGTTCTTGACAATCCTGTTTTTATGTTTACTAAATATTATTGGGCGTTTGCAGAGTACAGTCGGTGACACTTTGATTTTTTTTGTGACTTTCAATATCTCTATTTTTACAAAAAAATTCATTTAATTAATCTTCATCAAAGCGAAATATTTATTATCTGCACTTAAAAAAAATATAGCGTGGGGTGTCAGACGTGTCGGTTATTGGCTTTTTCCGAGCAAGTGATGAGAATACCATAGTGAAATATTACGTGTAGCTGCAATTAAGTTTTCAGCTTTGTCTTTATATTTCGTCCTCCAGCGTAAGTATGATGCCACTGTTGAACAATGCCACATCACTTCCTTGAAGATGACTAGTGTCAGTCATCATTATCCCTCCCTCGTTATCAGTAAAATCTAATGTAATTGTTAAGATTGTTACAACTAAGCTAAAAAAATACTTTAAAAAAAATTTTTTACGTCAAAGTTTTTTTTTTTTTTTTTTTTCATTTGCTGTCACGCAGTACAAGAAGACGTTGTGGAGCAGCTGTTTGCACGCGTGTACTCGCCGATGTAACGTTGCCAATAAGAAGAAAACTAGGAAAATTTCACTCTCTTGGTGCTGAGTACTAATTAAATCGAACTAAGTAGTAGACTCAGTAACAAGAGTCATAAGCAGAATGTCGATAAGCGACGTCGAACCATTTGGGAAGCCGTTGCAAGGTTAGTCACCGGGACTATCCCATCGACGTCCAGAGATGTGGCTTCTAGTTTCGCTGCTGCTGTTAGGTTGTTAACACCATAGAAGTGGAACTACCTAAAGTTAACAGAAATAGTCGTAACAAAAAAAAGGGAGAGATAAACAAAGTCTGCGATTCACCGGTTTTCGGTGCTTACAAAGTATTCGGCTCTCGGCCTGCGGTGAAGAGATTGAACGGAAAAGATGTTTAATTTCATGAAGAAGGCGACGGAGAAGGAGGAGAAGGAGAAACGGAAGCGAGAGAAGAGGGAAAAGAAGGATGTCAAAAAGAGGGATCGGAGCAGCATGTCCGCCGAGGAGCTGCTCAGAATAGACGAGGTGAGACATTGCATTGGTTTTCATCGTTGCTTACAACTATTGAGGTGTCTCATTTGTTAAAAAGAGCCTTTTTTCGTGATAAAATGAGGCTTCAAAGATGTAGCCACACATGAATTGTGTTAAAGCTCTCTTTATTTTCAATAATGACAATTCATACACTTGGCAGTACAAATTTCACCAGGCAATTTTATTAATCATCACATTAAAGTCTTTTCAAACCCATGAGACTCCTTTATATCATTCAGTATATACTTACTTGGGGGTTTGTTATACTGTTGCTCACACGCTTGAAAATTAAACGATTATTAACAGTCTCTTGTGATTCCTCTTTCTTTTAGATAACGCTTTCGAAAACAGTTTTGATATGTTGAAACGGAGTCCATCGTTAAAAAATTACGAGAATCGCTCCGTTATACCTATAACAGGGAAAGACACAAAACGACTTTGATGATCCAGCTTTTTCAAATTTCAAAGTCAAATATTACCACATCTGCGCCTAAAGCGTTTCATTCAAACATTCTTACAGCGCGCGAGTGTCAAAACATCTACACCTACTTTTCGGCTCACGTTCACGACATTAAAATTCATTGGTAATGAGGTTTTATTTTTTTTACCAACAACTTCATACCGTGTTCCATCTCATAAACGGCATTTCTAACGTTTTTTGATAGTACGGATAGTTAAAATCGGAATAGCGTCTTTTAGGTGGTTTTAGCATACACACATAGATGAATCTTCATGTCGTAAACGCGAACAGCTGAAAGGTACAGGTAAAAGATGTTTCGGAGCTCGCGTGCGGCGTCGAGAAAATTGACGTGAAGCGCCTCGCGTCTATCAATGCGGAAATCAAAGTCCGCTCGCCGGAAATTACTTTCATGTTCTTGATCCATTATTTATCGTCACGAGATGTCAATCAAGTAAAATAATGTTCACGAAATATACTTATCCAAGTGGGTCGTTACGTGTTAAAAAAAAAAAAAAAAAACGGTGTCCTGTACAGAAAAACTTGATTGCCCAGCTCTGCGTATATATATATACACCATTGAAAACTCGAGTAGCAGCCTATCGCGTACAGCCTACGTTTAAATAATAGAAAAAGACGCAACAGCAAGTACCCAAGGAAAGTAGCGCGTTCGATGAAAAATTATATTCCACTAGGTACGTGGCTATTACGTGCCGAGTAAGTTTGTACACGTTCGCAGTGTCAGTATAACGCCAGTACGGTAGCGTATACACATCATGATGGCTCTGAAAAGAAAGTGAAGGTTGTTGTATAAATATTAACCTCCTATACGAAAAAGCCAGCCGCAGTTCCCCGATGCGAGCGCACAGTGTCTTATGTAATCGTATATATAATAATAAATAACAACGAAAATAATGCACGTACACAGTCATCGCAACGCATTAGAGCGTAATCTGGATGATGTTCAAGACAATCGTCTATTCCTGGAACACTTTCCTCGACGCAGTGAGTCACGTATGTGTATAACACAACCTCTTCACACATATTATACACATGTATAATATACATCTACGTGCGGTATACCAATTAGAGCGACAATTAAGATATACGTAATTATTAGGAAAGAAAAAACACAGTTCCCGTGAGAGCAAAGCCTTTGGATCGCGTTACAATGAAATGCACGGAAGGTCGTCGTCGAGGTATATAATATACAATAAACAGTGGGGGTCGTTCACGGGAAACCAATGAAAGCCGATGTTATGCTCTTGCGTTACACTCCGCTGCCCGTATAGATTATACTTACATGATAGTAAATGGTAAACACAGAGCCATTGTAAAAAGACCCATAATGGGATATGCTATACTTTGCACGCGGTTTCGACCATCGATGGGTAAATATAAATATATGCGCTGTCACCCCGGTTTATCCACCATCGAGCACCAAATCCAGATAAACGCTTCCCTGTTTTATTTTGCTCGCGCGCAAGAGTCATTCCCCTCGCCGGTGATCGCGTCCCGAGTCGTGATGAAAAATAATAACTATTCGCGCGCCGTCTTGAATCGAGCAAATCTCTTCCGTTGAACTCTTCTCGCTCGAGTCGTCCGGATGAATGCGGGCCTCTTTTTAAATAACGAGAGAGAAGACGGATAGTGGTATGGCTGACGTTTGAAAGAGCTATAGGAACGTTTGAAGGTCGATTCCGCAGTTTTACACTAAATTGATATGCCGAACCAAGAAGAAGAAAAAAAAAAATGTGTATTTTGTTCCTCAGATGCGGAGGTCACTGAAGATCCGAGGTCGGCGCAAGGAGAAGGAGAAGCTGCCGAGTGGCATAACGGCGGACTACAGCGCCTCGTTCTTCGCCCAGTTGGACCGGGACGTGCTCGACGACGCTGGTCTGCTGAACAGCAGCACCGGGTACGCGGGTTCCCCGTCGTCGATGCTAGGTGGGAGCGCGGTCCTCACCCAGAGCGACTCGTCCGAGGCTTCGCTGACCTCGCTGACCAACTCGAAGAACAATCTGCCCCCTTTGCCCCCCAAGCCGCCCAAGAGGGGGATTCTGAAGGGGCCGAGGATGGGCGGTGGTGGCAACGGCACGAGTAGCGTCGTAATGGCCACGGAGTCGGCGACCTCGCCCACGTCGTCGTCGTCCTCGTACCTACAGAACGGCTCGAGCCAGGACGGCAACAACCACCAGCCGGTCTACCAGCACGACTCGAACAACCTGCTGGCACGGAACACGCTGCAGAACGAGGTGATAGCTTACCAGAACCTGCCCTTGCAGCACAGGTCCCGGGACGAGCTGCAGCTCGTGTACAGCGAGGAGGAGTCTTATCATCAGGTGCGACGCAGTCCCCACCAATTCGGACATCCTGGGCCGCAGGACTCTAAGCTGTTGCATGTATGTCCGTCCGCCTGCTCAAACCGTGTTTGTTTTCCCCCTCGTTTATCCCTTTCAAATTGGCAAAGTGGATCCACTTGATTGGCCGTTTTTTCTTTCATTTTTTTGCACGACTCCGCATGGATTAACATTTACATAGAATTCCGGTTACGGGCGTCTGGGAGTTCCCGACATGTCTAACCCTCGTCTCTCTTGTTGGTATATAAGTATATCAAAGCTACGAACGATTTGTATACTGTGGAGCCCAAACATTAATTTACTCGTCGAAAAAAAGCATGAACCCCGTTGTTTTTTTTTTTTTTTTTTTTTTTTTGTTTGCAAATTCAAATTAACGTTTTACAAGGCTCTTTTGTCAGCCTAAGGGGTGCCAATTAGTCCCTCGCTGTCTCGTTTAATCAGCCGCACGATCAACCACGTAGATTTATGTAATAATGTATTTAGCCAATGTAATGTAATCTTCCGTTGGGTGTGTTTTGCATGTACCAAAGCACCGAATGTTACACAAAAAAATAACGAAGCTTGTGTGACTAGTATAGACACGGGATGTCATCCTGTGTACACGTATACTCATCTGTGTCGATCCGCAGGTCATAACGAGCGCGAGTCCCTCGGCGGACTCGCTCACGGACACGACGAACTCGAGCTTCGCGACGCCGCCCTTCAGCTTGTCCCCGGTAGGCGAGTCCCAGGGCTTCTCGCGCTGGCGCTCCTCGGGCTCGTTCGAGGACCAAGGGGTGCTCGAGCTCTCGCTTCCGGAGATCGTGCCGCTCGAGCTGCCCGAGCCCCGCGAGCTGGTGATCCAGCGCCAGCCACCCCCGAGGTCGGATTTCGGCTTCTCGCTGAGGCGCGCCGTCGTCATGGAACGGCTGCCGAGCGGGGCCACGCAGATGCGCTCGGTGACGTTCGCCGAGCCCGGGGCCCTCGTGCAAAACGTCAACGACACCGGCCTGCTACCCGGGGACAAGCTCATCGAGGTCAACGGCATCAACGTGGACGACGAGAGCCGCGAGGAAATCATCGATCTCATCAAGAGCTCCAACGGCAGCGTCACCGTCAAGGTTCGTCACAATACTCGCTCGTACACCTTCTTCCTTTGCTTGTTTTGCCAATCTCACCTCTTCTCCATTCATATCGGACTTTTTTTTTGTCCAAGTACTTAAGGTTTGAAGGATTTGACGAGGTTGGAGAGGTTCGACAGTACAGAGAAATCGAAAGGACGGGGGACTGGTTGGTGATTTTGCGAACCACGACCTCTCGAGCCGTCGTTGGTAATAAAACCCGCTCCTAATCGCTGCGGGCAAACCACCGTACATATAAAGTGGCTGTACCGCAAAAAAAGAGTCGCGACCGATTAGAAACTGCAAGAGGGGGGTGGGGAGAGTTTGGCCCTCTCTTGCATAGCTCATCCGCGTGCAACTGCGAATAGCTGGGCGGTGAAAGGCGCTACGTTGGAATCCGCGAAAAGAGTCGGCTGGAGATTTGCGGCTTCGCGCACCTATGGGGAAAAGTTGAGAGACCGTATATGTACGTTGGGCGACAGTTTGTGATGGTGTTTGAAAAGAGAGAGTTGTCGGGAAGATGCGCCGTTTGAGATACACGGCGGCCTTGTTCAATGTATTTCTAACAGAATTAACATAAACGTGCAAACGCTTGAGTATCGAATACACACGGGCAAGAGAATTCTTCCTGGGTTCAACAAGCGTACATATACAAGGTTGAGCCGGTGATAATGGCGCAGCTGTAAAATCATAACGATTGTTATCTCAAGAGTCACAAATTGACCGGAACGCGTGGAGGCACGCGCGAAACCTTATACACATATTGTACCAAGAGAAACGAAAACGCCGTAAATTTCCTCTGTCAAAATATTTTGCCAACGCAGCAGCAAATCGTTAACGAATCGTATAGGCGTTCCTTAAAGATGATAAATTCTACCTTTTGAACAAATTGCATTTCTACGTTAAAAAAATATTACATTTATAGACGAGGAAAGAAAAAAAAAAAAGCGCGCTACACTTGGAAAATCGTTGACAAGGAAACATTTTCCACACCTCCGTACATCGAAAATTCTTTGGGGTAATGGCTCGTGCGCGTCAATGCGTTAACACAGTGCAGAAGAGCTGCATGTACAATTACACGCGTACATTGGGCAAACTATTCCACGTATGCGTTTCTCCCTCGGTCGGGGGGGGAGCGTAAAACGCGCGTACGAGATTCTCCCATCCCTTTTCCTCCCCCCTTTTTAATTCGTTTGGGCGTAAAAGTCGAGCGGGTCTTTTTTTTTTTTTAAAGAATGTGTCAAGTGTTACGATACGTTACGCAACTAATGACAGACGAGGGTCGATGGCTTGATTTTCCAATTCGTGCGTGTATATACACGTGGGGTAGACGATCGAGATTAACGCCCGAGGCCGGGAATTCAATTTCGCGCTTATCTGTTGTCTCGTCGAGCCGCAAAAGCTTCAATTTTCGCGGACGAGACCGAAAAAGAAAGAAAGACATTAAGGGAGGAGAGAAAAAAAAAGGGAAACGAAATGACGAGAGGGGTGGGGGGGGGAACACAGCTCGGTACATATATACACCTCCTTTCTCGGATTGCCACTTTCTGCGGGCCGTGTAGGCTTTGAGCTTCCGCGATGATGCACCGGAGGCGGCTCCCGGAACGAGGGACGATGGAAGGGAGGTACCCATAATGCGAGGTTTGCGAAAAATGTGGCTCCCGAGGGGGGAAGGAGGTTCGGCCGAATTCCCGATGCTCGACCGCTCGAATAAATTATTTACCAAAAAAAAAACGGGACAAAAATAAAACACACCAGGAAACGAAACGAGTTGGCGGAGGAGTATTTCGAGTTATACCCGTGTAGATTGTCTCCCATTGCCAATTACACGAGATAACGCGTTATCTATAAATCGATCACGTAAATATTTAATCAACCGTGTCAATAAATGTGCGAGCCAGGCAGCTATTACGTAGGAGACGGGGTTTCGACAGAAGGTACACGGCCTTGAAATAGTCGTCGCACGGGGGAGGAAAGGGTCCAGCCATTTCCATGGTGACTGTGACGACTGTTTCTGTGTCGCCATAAGAGTGTGTATACCATATATACATATATAGCTCGTAGCTCCCGTTCGGTATACTTGCTCCCTTCTCTCAACACAACGTTACACGTATATAAATAAATATACTTACTTGTAAGTGTGCGGGTATATAGTCACCGTCAATGCAGCGTTGTATTGTCTGCTCTAAAAATAATGTGTATTTTCTATTTATATTATACATCGAATATACGTGTAAATTATACCCCACAGTGCAGGAAAATTTGAATTGGTAGCTTCGTTCGGAAGACTCTGGGGGTTTTATTTTTCTTTTCTTCCAATCGTTTCGTTGACCATCAACCGTTGTAATTTAAAATATTTCTCGTAATTGCGCGCGAGCAAACAAATAAATTAAGTAATACCCGAGCCAAATGGGCGTGTACGACGCAACCCATCAACGTATATATATATATATTCAAGCGGGACTGTTTGACGGGGGAAAAAAAAAAACCCCCACATATTCTCCACGGGGAGCGTCTCTATACGTTCGAACGAGAGCCCGATATCTTTCTCTCTTCTTACCGAGGGATTCTGCGCGTGCTACAGCCATTCGCAATGGCATTTGGCGAAGAATGCACGCGCTCACCCATACCAGACCCTGCCCTCGGCACTTTCGATTATCATCCTCCTCCTCCTCCTCCTCCTCTATCTCGTTCTCCCATGTCGGCGTCGTCGCGCCCTTATGTTATCACATCGTATGTATATATACGTGGGTCTTAAAATATATACGAGGTGACAGCGATTATTATTGTTAATTGGAACTACGAGGCATTTGAATTTTCATTCGGCGTTTATTACATTACCAATATTATTTGAGCCAGTTATGGTTGAGGTGGGAACCTATTACACGGACACCAGCCCCCCTATCGAGTGTATTATTGTTATATAAAACTGGGTGGGGCAAACAGGCAATTCCCGTAAAACGTATCTTTCGGGGGAGTTGCCTGAAATTTTTAATCCATCGTCGATCTGCAGTTTTATTCCAAGTCATTTGATTGCACGCACGAGGAAGCGAGCCTATTTATGAGTCGCGTGGTTATAATGTGGAAAAATGTTACTTCAAAGCCATCCCGTGTATAATGAGGCTGATCGAAAAATATATATATATACCTCGAAACAAACAACGTTTTTTTGAAAAAACTCTTTTTTCTTTTTTTTTGCGCGCTATAAATTAGAAGTATATCATGTACCTATACGTATACCTGTGCCCACAGAAACGGTACTTGCAAACTTCAGCCTCGTTTGCCGCGTCGCGATCGAGTGCACTGCACAAGTACGTATACCGTATATATTATATAAAGGCCGTGGTGGTCTGCATCAGCTCTCCTCCGCAACTACATCCCAGAAGATTAGTATATATACGGATCGCGGTACACACTGCACACCTAATACGGCAACAACAGCCCCGGCATCAGCTCGTTATCGCTTCCTCCCTGCAGCGTATATATATATATATGCAGCTATGGCCTCTTCTTGCGTATACATATTATTATTATTATTACTATTATACATTACAAGCTGCGAGAGAGAGAGAGAGAGAGAGTTAAGAAGTAAAAAATACCTCTGGCGCGTTCATTAGCGTATTATGTGGGTAAGTACTGTGTGGCATGTATATACGGCAAGTACTGGGGAGCACATTGCTGTAGGTGCTGGGTCGAAGAACTGTTATAATTGATATTCGTGTAACTCGACGATCGGCAAGGAGCTAATATATATGCATGTGCAGCTTGTAAATGTGCTATGTATAGTGGACTGGTTTGCGCGGCTTGTGAATAAGTTACGCGTTTACAGAGCCAAGGATCCAAAGAGGGTGTTGTTATTATTTTTTTTTTTTTTCTCCTTTCGCGCACGAAAAAGCCAAACGTGCGGTATACATTTTGGCCTATACTGTGGCGATCGAGGCCGCAAATGTTTTACTCGCGGAATCGTTTGACCCTCGTCCCATCACCGATAATCGTTACCTGTCGCGGCGTCACCTTGTCTTCGTCGATTATCAATACCATATCAGTTTCTTTTGTTCGAAATTTAATCTCCTCCGGCGCTCGCGCGTAGTTCATCTTTGCCTCTCTCCCTCCGTATCCTTCATTTTCTCGACTTTTGCTTCCATCTCGTATTGTTCGCTCTCTTGCTGCCTCGTGACCGACTACTATATACTTACTCACTTTGTTTCTTACTCGATCATCCCAACGACAAGAGGCTCGAAAGTGAATCATCACGCGCTTACTTATCTATATACACGCGCGCTCTTGAAGGAAGGAAAAAGACTTACACTGCGAGTAATGGATGCGCCGTTGGTTAAACTACATGTATGGATAAAAACAAGCGCTTTGCGTGCGCTAGCGCGTGTGTATACACGATGTGTATGTACCTACGGAAGATTTGTCGGGTTTCACTTCCTCCTCGAGTACATAATATATACCCGTGCATGACGCTCTAGTGTGTGTTTTACGAGATTAAACCTTTTTAGATGTGTTGTGTACACGTGATCACAATTAAGGCCGATGGAAAATCCAGCGAAGCTCTTGTGTTGCCTGTATTGTATACACACGCGTATTTTCCATTCATCCCGATCATACGTATACTCTTCCTTCTTTTATTTCTCCCTCCCATCGGTCGTAAACAACTATTTTTCCTCTCTCTATGCGAAGCAAGGCTGCACTCGTGGTTGTCGGAAGATACGGCTCTTATTTCCCCTCCGGGGGCAAGTGACGTGTATATATAAAGTAGAAAGAGCTGGGCGGGAGGGGGGGGGGGAGAAAGACACGCGTGTACAGTTTAACCCGTTAAATTTAGCCTTGGGTCTGCTATTTTCATCAGCGGAGCGCAAGTGGGCGTCGTCGTCCGAAGCGGTCGGACGGGAAAATCAAGCGCTCGGTTGACAAAAAGAAAAAAAAAAAAAAAAAAAAAAGGTTGAACGAACCGTATGTGTACAGCAGCAAAGACATGCAGATGCGCGTACGAGAAATAATTACTACTTAATTGTTGGCATGTGTTTTTGTTTATTATATTCATATGGATGCACCACATAGGATCGGAGTGCAAACTATACGCTTGATTGCAACACTTGTACTTGTATATTATACAGTACTCTGCGGCTATTATATCATTGACAAGTCCCTGCGCAGTACGTAATACAAGGAGGAGCTAGTACTTTTCGTTTTTTTATTGCTGTTCCACTAGAGATGAAAAGGAAAAATAATTTTTTTTTTTTTTTTTTCAAAGACGTGGGTTTACATTCCTTGAACTGTGTGAAATTCACCAGCATTACATTGTGAAAAAGAGACGTCAGTTATGCGTTTTGCCGAGCCAAAGAGAAGCTACAGTGAGTATGCGTACAAGTAAAAACGCCGACGACATTCCTTAACGAAAAATCAACGCTCCGTTCGAGCGACGGCACTTAACGCGCCAAGAGAGAGAGAGAGAGAGAGAGCGCAATGCCGGCAAAAAACGACCATCATCTACAAGCTATCGACGCGCAACAACGTCCACACGTGTAAACGTCCATTAAAGAGCTCGTTAAACTTCCCGTCCTCTTCCCCTCGCGATGATTTTTCACGAATATGCGGGCACCTATATCTGTCTCGAGGTACGCTATCCATACGCGGTGGCTCTCTCCCGGTTGTCGGAAGCTCGTCTTCCGTTCATTACACGCCTCTCGATAAACATCTCTTGTGCGTTTACGCAGCGCGTGTATACGCGCATATACCCACATGGTCGTCGCTTGTATGGTATAATGCAGGGAATTAATGCTCGCGAACCGCGGCCTCGATGCCTCTTCTCGGTCGAGCTTTTTTTTTTTCTTTCTCCTCTTCCTCATCGAGGGTGCATGGCCATTGTCTGCGTACGCATATACGGGTATATTTATATATACGCCTGGGGCATCGGTGTATAGAGGCTGCATTACGTTTATGCGGATACACCATTACGTTAATCATGCACTGGTTTTGTACGCATTTTATTGCATCTGTGTATGTTGGATTCATTTTTAACCTCGACGTTTCTCTACGTTTTTCTGTATTCCTCACGGTGGAAGGTATCGCGATTGATATCAGCGCCTTTTTTTCATTGGAATTTTTGTATTTCATTAACAAACAACGCGTCAAAAACATTTTTTTTTTTTTTTTTTTTTTGTGAATTCACAAGGAGTATAGTTCACTTTTACACTATGGTTACAGGGTGAAAACCAATACGGTATAAGGATGTTCAATCAAGATACGACATTTAAACATCCGAAGGTGAAAGAATTAATAAAAAAAAAAGTCAGAAAATACAAATTGCAAATCTCGTCTTTGATTCCAAATTATTTTCAATCGATGACATCGTATCACGTGTCAGAAGAACATCCCAAACTGTGGACCACCTGCACTCGGCTGTAATATTCTCTATAGACATCTTAATGATCTAAACGCCGATTGTCAAACTGTCGATTAACTTTTCTCCAAAATACACGTCGTATACGCGCGTGCGTTGGTATATAAAACGATTTGACTGAATCACCCTTCGAATAAAAAGGTTTGACGCCTGTCATAAAATCCACCTAAAACCACGGGCACTTATACGGGTATTGTATACGCAAAGAGATAAAGGGCGAGAGCGCACCCATATACCTGTACCGTATATATAAAAGCTCGGCAAGAGGAAAGGAAAAAAAAAAAAAAAAAAAAAATGTAGTCTGGCGAGTGTACACGCATCCACGTGTGCGCGTGCATATACAATCGACTGGATGGATGGGCCCCCTGATGAACCACGTGCGAGCACGTCGGTTTTTATATAGAAGGTATATAGGACAAAGGGAAGCATCGGGATACGCCTCCGAGCAGACATGCACTTGGTACTTTTTTTTATCCTTCTTTCCGGCACTCTGATGCCAGTGCCATGTTTTCGGTCCCCTTTCACAGTCTAAAAACACGTTTTTACAAGTATACAAATATTTTATACTTATCCCTGTGATGCTTCGTGACCCTACTTCAGAGTTTAAGGGCACGTGTGCTCCTTTTTTTGTTCCAACTTTTCAGTCAACTCTGTATTCGTATTGTATACCGCATGATGGGGCGTGGGTCTCAATTAGCAAGCAAACGTCCTTCCCCTTGCCGATGATCTCGTGCAGGTTTATTTTATTCTTTTTGGACGGATCGACCTTCACCCGATGCTTGTACAACCTCCTACGCATAGTTTCCAAGCCTAACTTATAGCTTCTTTGGTGTAAAATGCACGTGTACATACCTGACGGGTTTCGAAAGAATCGAGTATACAATTTCTCGGGGAGCGTGTATACTTAATTTTAATAAAAAGGCAGACTGTCGTGCAAACAACCTACCCCGGAGGCGCGACTTTTAACGCCTCCCGGAGTAAAACCCTCGTAAAGAGCGAAAAACATCCAGCCGGCACGCGCAAATGATCATTGTTATCTGCCGGCACTTCTGCAACCGTATTACGTGACGGCAGGGCAATAATAGTTTTCTCCCCCTCTCTCGCCGGTGCCAAAGCGTGTAATTGCGTTCGCCGACGCCGGAGGGCCCGTAACGACAAAGTCACAAAAGTCACAGAGTTGGATTGACGAAGCTGCAGGTGGTAACGGCGGTGATGACCAGGAGGCGACTGCACCAGACCGGCCGATGAGGGATCGATTAGCTCGCCATGCCCAAAGATTATCGTTGCTTCTCGCTTCCGCGATGTCTCGCCTGTTGCGTAAGGCTCTCTCTTTTTTTTTCTCTCGTTGCTATATGTATATAAATATATATATATCGGATGGACATGTATTTTTAACTCTCGCGTTGTTCGCCCAGCACCGTCAGATATAGAGCGAGAGAGAGATATATATATATATATATATATATACATCGATATCTTACATGCGGTGTAATCACCGATGCACGCGAGCGCCAACTTTCTTTTTCCCTTTTACAAAATTTTTAGACAAAAGACTTCACCTCCGTTAACGTGTTCGCGAGCCATTTGTGCCTCCCGTGAGTACATAATACACGGAAAATTTAGCGTACCACCGAGAATACACATCGTTGTACCCGCGATATCAGCGGAAAGGTAATCGCTAGTGAATCATATCCTATTAGCCCAACTCTATTCCTCCCCCCCGGTATATGGTAAACGACCGCAGTCTAGACGACTCTGGGTGGGCGTGGTGGGTGATAAATTTCGGCCCACCGCCTATATGATATATACCTCCCAACACTTGCCCCCTTGTTGAAGGAAAAAAAAAAAAAAAAAAAAAAAAAGGAACTTGCAGGGATCATAATTTTCCATCCATACCGATGAAACGTTTTTTCGTAAAACAAATCACTCCGCGCCAATTGTACACTCATGGTTTGAAAAAAATGTTCTCCGGTTTCAGGTTCAACCCGTGGCCGAGTTGTCGGAGTTGTCCAGGCGTTGCGGCACCGACGGCCAAAAAGTCGAGCTGGGCCCGGCCAACATACGAGGCGGCACCCTCCGACGTTCCGGCAGTTTGCGCTTCCACACAAACAGGGTGAGCATTACGACACTTGATGATTGTATCTCACGTACAACCTACAATGCATACAGACCACCAACTCCCTATTGGCGCACATACCATGACACGTGTACATATATAGGATTAAGTGTTTTGCGTTAAGTTTCCGGGAACGTGATAAATATTTTACTGCAGCTCCACGGATGAACGACGCGGTCAAATTACACCAGTGTTCCCCGTCATTCATCACGGCACCGTGATATAAATAGGTACACATGCAGCGAGAGGTCGCATCGTACATTATAGACCAAAGTGTATATAAATATACTTATATTCCACAGCAAAGACGCGCCCAAAGAATTTGGTGGCTCTCCCCCGGCGCTCTGGGTAATGTAATATACTAACGGCCCCACCTCGCGCGTTTAATTGCCCAGATAAGCCGAGAAATTGTACCGTTTTCCCGTGTAAATCCCCGATAAAGTAGCAATATACACCTGAATGCAATGAATTAGGTATATGTATAACAACGGGAGACTTTTCCCCATGGGATGCGTGAAAAATGGGACAAAAAGGAACATTCGCGTGTTTTAGGTATCCCATTTATCCGAGCGACGCGTGCGTGCGTATATACAGTGTTTGCCGATTGCTCCATCTGCATCACTGTTGACCCGATTGTAAGTATACATGATTATGACGCTGTACGAGTTGTGATGGAACGACGCGTCAATTTGGCCCAAAAATCACGCTCCACCACAGATATGGTATTTCTTTTTCTTTTTTTTTCTCAATGCGCGCTTCGGATTGAAATGATCTATATATATATATACATAAATGTCAGTGCAAGAAACTTATGTAGGTGATGCATCCGACTCTGACGTACACGGCCGCACATGGTAATAAAATATATTACGTAGGACACACGTGATACGTATAATATATATTATACGGTATATTGACACACGGGCCCATCCTGGAAGAATCGCGTCGTCGTCTCGGTCCCCTCTTCTCCCATTCGCGGGATCAGCTGTGCGCGGTGGACGTGAGAGACCGCGGCGTGAGAAGCTGCATGCCCATGAGCTCTCGAGACGCGCGAGCGAGTGCACTTATATACATATGTCCTTACAATGGGGACGGGGGATGAACACTTACTCTTGGCGTTGCCCTATGTGTATTATGTATATATACATGCACACTTTGCTCCGATGATGGGTCGAGTGGTCCCGCAGCGACACGGCCGCATGTGTTCCAAGAGAACACGGGCCGACAAAACACGAGGAGACTAAGCAGATGCCGTACGTGTGTATGTGTGCTGTGGTGACGCTTGTATGGATGATATGCTGGGAGAGGGGCGTGTCGTAGAACACCGACCCCTCCGCGTATATATTACGACATATATCTACCACGTGACGTGCACGATATACACCAACATTTAAATACTGCGACGAGCCGGTGTATCGAAGGGGAAAAAAGAAACACAAGAGATGTGTATACACTCGGGGCTTTTTTTTCTCGCGCTCAAATACTATAGACAATATCCATTTTGTTTCAGTGATTCTCGTGTTGTATTATACGCAAAGACGATGATTTATATAAGTATACACCACCCGAGGAGGCGAAAAATTCAAATGACGCTCATCTTGTATATAACATATATGTGGCCGTGCGGAAAAGTAAGGCAACGTAACAGTACCTATATATATATATTATACTTATGTGCACACCGGGTGCAGGTACCTATATAGTACCCTTGAACGCTCGACACTCGTGAGTGAAAAAAAAACCAAAGTGGCCTTTTTTTCCGAACCCTACGAAGATTGCGAAAGAACGTGCGCGCACTTGGCTCCCGCAGAAGAATAAAGAAAAAGGAGATGGGATGAAATAAAAAAAAAACAGAAGCGTGCGCTCAGGTGTAAAGATACAGATAGCGATGGAGGGGGGGGGGAGGGAAGAAGAGGCGCCAAGAGAGCAAAGAAAGGTGTACCCATCACCTATCTGTGTGTGTTGTTGTTGCTTCCGCCCACAATCAGAGTTTCTTTCCTTCATTTTACCTGATAGGTAACGTTTAGTCGTTATACGTATATAGCATCCGGCCACCTTATTGTGGCGCGTATACGTATATATTAGCATGGTAACGGTATATTATACGCGTACACCTCGCCGTTCCCGTGTTCCTTCATACACGATATAATACATATATCGCACGCTCGCTTTCTACCTCTCATCCTTCCTTTTGCATAAACATATGGTTCACCAATATGCGTGTAAATAATTTACAATGTATAATATACATATACCAACGGTTAGCCGAGAAAACATCCTCAAAGTTGTCCGCGTTGGCACGCGCGGCGCTAATCAGTGTGTAAATGTATGCACGAGCGATAAGTGCCCTGCACGTTACCGAAATACCTTTGATGATGGCCGTACTACTTAAGACACGCGAGTGGAGAGAGGAGATTTTTTTGGCACAAAGCACACCAATCACTGTGATCTTCAATTGTAGTGCGGGGGGTGTAAAATCCGTGACGAAAATTAATTAAAAACGTGGGTATAATGCTCGTAATGCACGCATGTGCAGGTTGTAGATTTAAAAGCACTCCCAAGGTGAATCATCGAAAAAGCTGAGCCTCGAATGCCGGAGAGATAAGAGTGATATTTACACACTCGTGGGCGCTGTGTATCCCAATGGGTACACCTATACCCACGTGTCGTATCAGTCTCGTTGGAGCCAATTGGCAATCGACCCCCTTTCGCGTCTGTTGTATACCTGTAGTATAAGTACGACGCTTTGTAGCGCGTTACGAGGAGTCGAGGTCACCGCGGCTCCCTTCCCCCCCCCCAACCCTCTTTTTCCTACGTTCCTCGACACCAAGGCGCAAATTTATCGGTGGACTAGATTTGAAAATTTTGGCGAGCTTTCGACGTGATACACAACAATGTACCGCGCCGCGCTCTCGTTATCAGAACGTTCGTGCTGGCATTTAATGAATGAATTCAAAAGTAAAAGTTGCCGTCTGGTTTTTTTTTTTTTTTTTTTTTTTTTTTTTTTTTGCTGCTGCGAGCGCGACGGTTCAATCAAGGCCAGCGTCAACGGTGTTCGTTGGTAAATTGAATGGATCACGCGTCAGATAAAACGTATGACCTTTTCATCAAAAGCTTTGGGTGCTCCTTTTGTATACATTCGTCATTGTTTCTGTTATTTGGTCAATACCTTTTTTTTTTTCCTTCCTTGATGTTTCGATGACACGTCAGTTATTCCGTGAAACACCTTAGTTGTTTTTTTTCTCTTCACTTCGGGAATTGGCGAATCATAAATTTTTCCATCCGGTCTTTGAGCTTTCGTTTACATCGTTGCGATGCCCACGGGATGCATCTGTATACGCGTTTTCTTTTTCTATCTACGAATTATTTTCTTCCGCTCTTTCAAACACGGAGCTTTATGGTACAGCCGAGGACCGAAGCATTCCGGATTAAGAGTACAACTCTTAGGTTTAGTTGGTTGCAAAGAAAGTCCAATCACCTAAGTAAAGACACGTTGTTTCCGGAGCGATTTGCGCGCGAAACAAATATGAGATAACATTTTCTTTGCCTCAACCATACAAACCGCGCAAGATGACGTAAGCTCGATTTACATTGCGTGTATATATAATTGCTGATACGCGTTGGTACAATGTATATAATATATATATCGTACACACCAACCAGCAGCTCTCCCACCGCTCATTTATAACGCACACTGCGCACAACATTACCCCCCGCACCATAGCTCGTTGTTACTCGACCCGCGAGCTAATATAATTACTTCGTATAATATATATCATGATACACGGTCTTCCCCTCTCGGTATTCCTTTCAATTTCCGCGAAAGCGTATAATACAGCAGTATAGCTGAAAATTTTCCCTCGCTCTCACTTACCCGCACACACACACGAGTACATATATATATTATGCAGGAAGCGTACCTATATTTTACAACCGGACAAGTATCCATCAAATACCGATCTCGCCGGTAAATCGGTCGAGCCCATCAGGACTCACGTATAGCGTACACGTGTAGGCACTTTTCTTTTATCCCCCGTACGACTTTTCCAGCGTCATCGGCAGCACTTGGCCTTCGGTTGCGGGACGTCCCGTTACAAAAGGTATACTTGCGAAACGCGCCTTCCTCCCTCGAGAGAGCCAACACTCGTCACACACGGCGCGATAAGCCGAGAACGGGTTTGTGTACACGCGTGTACGCGTACATACATATATACGTATGAGACGGAAGGCTGCTGGCTGTAGCAGAGTATATAATTATATACACACACGTGGTATAGCGGAGAGTAGCGTTAAGATTCTCAATGTCGAGCGAAAGGGGCGGAGGCTCTCCCGCTGAATTCCCGCTTCGATACCGGTTTTCTCTATACCCGGCCACATGTATATCACGCTCGCGTAACATAGGCAACCCACGTATACGCTTATCGGTATACACCATGCATTGCCATGTATACATGTATACGTGATGTAAGAGAGAAAGAGAACTCGGCGCGCACATTTTCACGGGGTCGACGACGTAACCCGAGAACGCAGGCATACCTATATACCTGCAGATGCTGAAACACATATATATCATTATATACCTATACCTGTGTTTTGTATGGATGCATATTATACCCTCTTTGCGCATCATGCAACTCTTCCTACGAATCTTTAACCCACCCCTCCTTTTGCATTACGATTGTTTGTATTATGCTCTATACATGGTATATGATAATACAACCTCTAAAATAATGCCGGTATGGATTTAATTTAGCGTGTATGTATGTATAATATATTGTGTTCCATGCAGCGTGTGAATTGCGATAACAGTGTATTATATGCGTGTACAGGTGTTGCGTTGCAGCTTTTCGCCAAACATATTGTTATGCAATTATCTGGGAGTTTACGTATACGTATAGGGTACATATTAGGTATGCACCCTCGATAATACAGGTCCGCGCATTAGATAGGGGGGGGGGGGAATTTATCGCTCGGCCTCGTTCGCCGTGAAAACGTGT